ACTCCGTACAAAGGCATAACAGAAACAATGGTCGTCGTCATTTCAAGTCAATTGAGGCCCACCCATATGCAAATCGTTAACAACGAAGTTCCCCGTTCATAAGTACGCCGTATCCATTCTGGGTCCCTAGGAAGTATTCATGTGCGGGATTGTAATCGTAGTAAAAAGCCGCCCCTTAAACGTAGTAACGTAGATAATAGTAGTAGTAGTAGTAGTAGATGCTGATAGGAATCCGGGTCTCTCAGGGGGGAGTTGAGGGTCCGGGTAGCAACACATTAGGTATTTCATAAGTCGCAAACTTTGCAACTATGCAAGACACTTCAAGGTCTGCAAAATTCATAACCCGGTCTATCCTGTTTTGCATGGCAAAAATCCGGAAAAAAAGACCACGATGCGGTTTGTTGGACTCCAAATCCTGGGAATCTCGGGCAATGAAACAATTAATCATGGAAGCATCACTGGCAAGACGGTATGTCACGCCGAACACACTCCAGCGGGTTTAATTTCGACCTGGGCGGTGAGACCGGTGAGCGTGCCTGGAATCGGAATGGCGGTCAACACTATCCCTTTCACGATGTCGCGACGAAGATCCACTGCCAGTAAGTTGTGTACTGGATGCTGTGGCTGAGTTGCGAGAGGGAGCAGGGGTTGACTCATACTGTGGATCTTGTTGTGCTGGATTGTAGGACGTGCCTGCTGGAGACGCTAAACAATCAGAAACTGGAATAGGGAGGGTTAAATCAGAAACCACTAGTGTACGCACCGCGTCCGAGAAAAGGGTCTTGAGGCTGCGCGGCTGGGTAGGGCGGGTTTGAGGGCGAAGGGTTCGAAGGGTAATAACCGCCGCCAGACGTTGGAGCCGGGTAGCCTTGTGGCACGGGCGGTCCTGAGGTTGCGTAAGTAGTCCTACTAGGTGGTATCGTGGTAATGGGTGTCCGTTGATCCCTGGGATCTACCCTTGAGCCGGCATACGGATCATTATACGGGTTTGACGCTACTCGTGAGTCCGCTCCAACCAGTTGGAAAGGAGGCTCCTGGCCGGCCTGGCCAAATCCTCCTTGTGAAGGCATCGGAGGATAAGTCACACTTGCAGACGAGGGCTGGAATTGCGATCCCTGGGTAGTATATCCTTGTTGGGTGCTATACCCACCCTGAGGATATTGCTGGCCCGTATAGGAGCCAGCGGCTCCCGTATAACCTGCGGAACCGGTTCCAGGGTATCTAGGTGTGGCATCACCATAGGGGTCGCGATTCTGGGTTCCTGCTGCAAATCCGGCTTCAGTCGGTCCGTAGTATTGGCGGGACTGATGCGTGTCGGAATTGCGGTACTGGACTATAGGGGAGTTAGAGAGTCTGACATAAGAGCCGTTCGAATCTCTCGAGGCAATAGTACCTCCGGCGGCGTTATTACGGCTCGCCGATTGCTGCCGCCTTTCTTGATCCCATCGCGCGGAATCTGCCTTTAGGTCTTCGATCATAGCCTACGGCAGAATTCTTGTTAACAAATTGGAACCTCGATGTCGCCTATGCGTGAGGTGCTTACCGTCGTCAAGTTACGATAGGCGTTTATGTAGTAGCCCTGAATGATCTGACCGCTTTGAGGATTCTGCGATGCACCCAATGTCAGCATGGTGAAGTTTGGAAAAAAAAGAATCAGACCGAAGTGATGATTACCTCGTATGTGCCGGGCCGAACGAGAGCGTCGTTTCCAAGGTAGCGACAGATATCGGCTGTGATAACCTCACGGTCGATACCATCTCTTGGTACGAAGTACTCATTCTGGCGATTTTGAGGGGGTAAGGCATTGCTGCCGGACGGTGCTGGTCTTCTAGACATGGTAGTCGGAAATGATGTTGGGAGGAATTACCGGTCGACGAATATTAGGTAGAAGAGGTTAAAAAAAAGGGAAGAATAAGTCGACGGTAGAAGACAACAAACGTAGAGGAATAGTAAAAGAACAAGCGGTCGAGAAGAATGGTGAGGAGGAAGAGAAGTGGGTGGTGGGGAGGAGAAAAGGCGGCGGACGCTTTCGCTGGTGGGTATTGAATATGGACCCGCGGCACAAAAAAAAGTCCTACTGCGAAAGGAGGGGCCTATTAGGGGAAAGTGACAAGGCACAATGGCGACACCAACTTGGCCTGAACAGGGATGGTGGCGCGGGCTTGCAGTCCAATCCTTAACCAATCCTTAACGGGTGGCGATGGTGACCTACAGGGCTTTGCAGGGTCACAAACAGCTAACAGCTTGAAGATTTGCGTCGCGTAGGAATAATACGGTACTTGGCGATGGAACAATATGTATGTACTGTAGCACTGGAAGAAACCAGTTCGCGACTTATTGGGAACAGTAACAGTAACTATTAGAACTTCAAGGAATAAGAGAGGGAGAGAGAGAGATAAGCTAGTTATTAGGAGGGTAGCGAATTGGTTGTCAGCTGAGAGGACAAGATGGTCTTTCTCCGGGACAGGCAACAAGACCAATGAGCTATCTGTTTTGCGCGGACACAGTGGAGCGGTGTCACTGTACAGAACGGGGCGCGTGGGAGGCGATGGTTGGCGGAGACGGATGCCTTATGTCTGCGTATGCCTTATATGTCTTATATAAGGGAAAGTAAGAGTAGATGTGTAGATGTAGATGATAATTAAAATAAAAAGAAGTAATAATAAGTAATATAAAGGCGATATTGAATAGTATCACAGTAAGAGAGGTACGTAGTATGTATCGCAGTGAGCTTACAGCCCTTTGGCGTTCAAGATGTAGATGAGTTTAACGAGACTCATCCGGTCTGGCAACTTGGTGGAAACGGAAGGGATAGAATCGATCCCCCGGCGGGTGAGTGAGTTGACGCGCAGCGACGGGTCCAACAAGCTGGGAATGATCTGTTCGTTGCAGCAGAGGGGGGGCCTTGAACATGGGAAAAGAACAGTCACTGTCCCCAATCCAAAATCTCAAATCGACTTCTAGACTATCCAGGATAGTCCCGAACAAGTGTGGCTGATAAACAGGATGGAGAGGATTGACAGGCCAACCTTCTAAGCTAGGATTTCCGGATGTGGGAGGGATGGATGGCCGGTGCCCGTATGTCTCGCATCTAGGAGGCAACAAACACCCGCACCGCTTCTTTCGATGCAACTCTCGGTACGGATTAGTGATCGGTCAATCCGTACAAAATAATGGCAGACTTGTCCCGTCTAGGTAGCCGCTGACCGACAAATATATTCTGCAATCCTGGAACGTAGAAGAAGGTTGATTTGGATTATATTTCTCTTCGAAGAAAGGAGCTAAACAAGGAAGATTTGACTTCAGTGTAGTAATTATGACTACTTAATAAAGCCGTCGGTGGAGAAAATTTTGTTTGTCGGTGGCCTTTTCTGGGTTGGGCTGCTTTGGCTCATGTAAATCTTTTTTTTTTCTTGAGGACTTCCTCACTCTCATCGGCTTGTTGAGATCTAAGAATCCTCCCAAAAGAAGACCAAAAACTTTCTTAGAAATCTTTCACGGGCACGAGGCGTGGTCTCTAGACTTCCTATTATACACGCACACGTCCCCCTCTCCTTCGGTTTGGATAAAATCCCAACCCACACCAAGAGGGATTGTTCCATATGTCTTGTGTTCCATCCCTTTGTGGCTCGGTTGACACCCTACCGACTGACCTCATTCTCAAATGAAAAGAGGGTACTGTATTATTATGTGTATTATGGTATTATGTACGAGAGGGTTTTTGCTTTGGGATTAAGCACCGTTTCTCAACTGAGCCGGCACCGTTGTTTGTGGCCGGAACGTAATCAAGAGCGGCTTTGACATTACTGGCCAAGATACATTAGAACGGGGCCCCGCCACTTCGAAGTGGTCTCATCCCGCACGAAGCGATTAGGCATTTAACACCACGATGGGCAAAGGACGTGGCACTGTGAACAAGAAAAAAAAAAAAAAAAAAAAAAAGCAGGCTGGCAGAGAAAAAAAAGTTCGAAATGCCTGTTCTCGCCGTTGGGTATCAATGCACCCAATGCACCCGAGCCTAAAAAAAGTAGCGGTTGCTTCGTCGTGGATGCCTAAGAACCAATCAGCCAATCAATGCCAGCTTCGGTTTATTCCTTGTGACATGATGACTTGAATGGTAAATACCTGTTCATGTACTGAGGTAAAAAGGACAAGTAGGCTGTTTACTATTAGGTCGCCTTGCGACATCATTCGCTTCAGATGCTTTAGATGCTTCAGATTGAACACAAATCTCTCTGCTATGCCTGCGTACCTGTCAAACTGCAGGACGGGTGGCGGCATAAATCCCTTTTCTTTTCTTCATACCAGGCACTACTACCGCACTACCGCACTACCGTAGTCTATTCCGCCCTGTTGTACACCCTTTTCTTCTAGAGCCTCCTAAGATTATACGTATATTTAGGTATGTACTAAGAACTCTTCCTTATATCGCATGTGATTGCTGGGAGACGGCCCGTGGTAGGTGCGCCGTAGTGCTCGTGAGACCGATGAACCGTCACGCCGAGTCCGGTTCATACGATGTACTCGCCCCCGAATTGTGCATTCATTTGAAAGTTGAGTCACTTTGAAATAGTTAAGTCATCAACGCGAGCCCGAGGGCAGCCCACTAGGCTTGTTCGCACCACCATGGCGCTATAGTGGGTCGTCCAGACCGACATTTCTGTTGGATCAAGATATTTACTCGGTTCCGTACCGGGCGCCTGAGCATTACCTGCTATACTCAACATGGAACTTTAGCATAAGCCATCAGTGTCCACAACGGAATTCCATATGCGGCGCCAGTTCATATCGCCTAACTTAAGAGATAGGGGAAGTGCATGAGAGTGTGGGCCCCCCTACTCCGAGGCGGCGTACTCGATACTAGTAGATAAGTTGGTCCCCCGTTAGACACCGTAAACAAAGGGAGAAAAGGCACTTCATATGGACGAATGGATGGAGTGGGAGTTGACCGGGGAGTATGTAGCGTTCGCTTCGAGTTGAGTAGCATGCTAGGTATCGATTCACCCAAATTTCAATTTCCGCTGCCCGTGCTCGAGCTTACTGCTACTAGAGGCACTACCTCTTGTAAGCTTCTTAGACGACGAAGACGATGCAGCTGCAGTCTTCTGACCTTGTGATACCGTGGAATGGTGGCTAGCAAATGTGTGTCTGCCACGTTCTTCCTCTTGGATGTCTTTGGCGAGATGCCAATCGAGGTGGCTCTGTAGGGCCTCGGCGCCCTCGAGCCTTGCATCGCATCGTGTACACACCTTAATGTAATCCATGATGGGATTGGGGGCACTCCCTAATCGGTTTGGCGAAGCCTCTTTCGTCTGAATCTGGGATTTACCCGTACCTACTACGTCTTTGTCAAGATTCCCATCAGCATCTCCACCTAACGAACTCTCCCTCTTAGGAAAGAAGCGCTGGATACCGGGATTATCAACCCGTCGTTTCTTCTCCGGTCGTTCATGCACGAATGACTCTGCCGAAGCCTCCCGAGAGGCTCCTGTTGATTCGCGTGCTTCGTCTCCCTTTAACAAGAAGGCACCTATACTTCTATTACCTATAACCCCATCCTCAAATCCTCCCACACTTAGGCTTAGGTTCGTGCAGGGCCAGACCCTACCTTCTTGAATAATTTGGCTTAGCAGATTCTTGGCAAGTTCGAATAAGGTCGTCTCGTCGAGCGTCCTGCCCTGGGGAATGCTACTCTGTCGGGAGCGGGTCTGGCCCCCCTGGCGGTGATGTAGGTTGATCGTCTTCGGCCGCCTCTTATTTTCGAGAACGCCCTCCTCGACCAATCGCGAGAAGATGTCGGCTGCAAAGATTCGTAACCACTTGACGGCTTGTTCCTGATTGTGTATGCTGGGTCGGAAGGATTTGGCGGAGAGCATGGACTTGATCTGCGTGCGCGAGTTAACCTCGCTCGTGTCGATACCGCGGATCGTATTGTAGAGCCAGACCCCCGTGTCGTCACCCAGCTTGAGCTTCATCTGCTCCACCGGTACAAGGAGTAGATCCTCAATGGTCTCCGTATGGAAAGTCGACACGACCTGGTCGCCAAGCTTGCCCCCCAAGTTTCTAATCTTAGTAAATTTCATATCAGATAGGAAATGCCGCACGGCTCGATTCCGTATGACTGTCTGTTGGTTGGGTTTCTTGTAGCCGGAGCCCAACTTACTGAGCATTTTATTACCAGCTATGCCCGCAGAGCATGTATATCCTAGGGTTCGGCGAATCTGAGCGCGTATGTCTCGAACGATCTCCGACCCAATGAGGATAGCTATGTCGTCCCAGTCTGGATCGTCCGCCTCGGCTTCTGCATCTTCAAGGTCCACGAGGGCATCCGCCTGCCAGTCGAGAGCGGTTACGGGTGGAATAGGTAGCTTCTCCGTGGGATCGTCATATGGGGGAGGATTCGCAAGTTCCGGGTACCTCTCCAGCAGAATGGAATGGATATGCGCAGATAGATCAAGAAAGACTTCGTCTATACTCGCTTTTTCGACCTTTTGCATGTTGGGCGGCAGACTCTCCTTGATTAGTGCGAGAATTTTACGAGTCTGAAGCCTGTAAGGGTCAAGAGAGACCTTGTGAGTGCCGATATGAGACGCTGCGTCCTCATGATACGACCATTTCTCATCTCCTTCCTTCCAGGTAGCAACATGCTGGGCAATGAGTTTTGGGCAGAGTTTCTTCGCATCAGTCACAGTGCAGTGCCGGCCTATGCCAAACTCGCGCGCAGGATAATTAACGGCAATCAGGCCTTGCCTATAGTTTCATAAGTGAGAAGTGACAGAGCCATGATAGAGAAATTAATAAATACCATTGTTGGACGGCTAAAGGCTGATCTTCAGCGATGCCGAGACGTACCATCTCGCATTGAGCATAGAAAGCATCTAGATCGATATGGGCGATGACGCGCAGAGGAGATGATGTTGAGTAAGATGCCAAGAGGCTTAATTGCCTATACGTAAATTGGGACTTTCGTCGACCGGTACCGTGGATCGGAGAAGAAACTTGGAAACGGGGCGAAGACATGGTCGGCAGCTCAGACGGGCAATGCAGACGAAATACCGGTATGCTTTAAGTCGGGAGTATAAGTGGTGGGGTATAACAGCTCCGAAAATTCATGGTCGGACAAGGGTCACACAGATTAACCCGGCCAAGACGAAATTCGGCCGGCCCGGTAGTTCGTGAGAGAAAGAGATGTTCGGATCCCGGAGAAGATGGAGGTAATATGTATAAAAAAAAATTCAGTAACCGGGTTCGATGAATAAGGAAAGATTGACTCCGGGAAAGACGCGTTCATAGGACCGCGTCTTAGAAGGAACCACATACCTAGTGGTATAATAAAAGTGGATACTTTAAAATAGGTACCTGTACCTGTACCTTTACCTGTCTGTACCTGTAATATGTATACGTCAGTATGTTAGGTACCTAACCTAACATACATGACTCTTTCATTCTTTCACTTTTCCCTCCTTTCTTATATACCTCCCCTCCCCTATCCCTATCCCTATCCCTATCATATTTTCGGTGTTTCTTTTCCCCTCGTCACAATAGAAGGAACGAATGAAAAAGTGAGATAACTATTAACATCTTAGCACTTTTAATGAGATTGAACATTTTGATTGGTCCCTCTTACAATATTATCTATCATCAATTCACCTTCTTGACCTATTACCGGTCAAACTCTGTATATATATATACAAATTACCCCTTTTTTTAACTTAAGATGACATAAGTGAAATATTCCCAGTTCGAGCATGTCTTTCCGAGAATTCGGTCCCGGGATATCTAGGACGATGTAACTCCAACGCGATCTTTTCTCGTGTCATGCCATTGTGTCGTGGTATATTTCCCGTCGATGGTAGTAGATGAGTAAATGAGTAAATGAGTCAATGATCAATATCCTCTTCCGGAAGTTCGCTCTTCGCGCCTTACCGTTCCCATCCAATAATCATGCGTTAACCCTATTCTCCATACAGGAACGCACATATCAAAAACGTGTTCCCCCGCAATATACTACCCGTGCCCCTATAATATGCCCTTATAATACATAAGGCTTTGCCTCCTCAAGTCGTATTTAACCTTACCCATCGTTGTGTTGGAGAAGAAGATCCCGCATCGTGCCGATAGACTGACTGTCTTCTCAGCTTATGTGGTCAAGACGACGGAAGAACGCGGAATTTTTCTAGAAAAAAAAGGAGGCACATTTCCTCTTATGACGACCGTCTGACGGTGATAGACGATGGGTTACTGTGATGTTCTAGAATTCTATATATGACTAAGCTGCGAGGCTGGCTCCTAACCACAAGCCTCTAGCGCAAAGTGGTTCGCGGCCTTCCTCAAGCCATCGGCATAATAAGCAAGGCAGCGGTTTAGATTTTTGCAAATTGGGTTGCAATCTCTTGAGAGGCTTCGGCTTCGTCCGAGCCATGGAGTGTTGGGCCGAGCTGAGTTGTCGGCTTTACGCCCACCGATACTAAAAAGAGCAATTGCTCACGATTAACAAGATCGAACACATCCTTCTTGAAGCGCCGTACGTAATAGAGTGAACTAGACGGGTCTCCGTTGCATGGTGGCTGCTGAGAAAGGATTGTTAAACTAGTTGAGCAGGGTAACTAGTGTACATCGAACAGTCGAGGATTCAATACTAGAGATGTTCTTGGTTCTACAACATTTACTTCCTGGCGGTTTCTCCGGTTGTAGTAAAGAAATTTTGAACAGGGGTTATATTAAGGAGTTCAAATTTACTAGGTGAGTAAAAATTTTTTAGATAGTTACTCGACGTAGGACTTTCATTATCACCTTACTCAAAGACCTCTTAACACAACCTACTTTGCGAGTGACAGAGATATCAGTATGTTCATTATCCTCCCACCATCGTCGCCGTCCTACTACTAATAAGTACAGGTATATAATGAAAAGTTTCTACGACGTAGAGTCTACGTCAGGTATAAACCCGGGAAATCCTACAGTGAAAGCCTCAAGGACATAGAATTTAGGTCATGCTATCCCCCATCTTTATCCCCATCTTTATCCCCCATTTTTGTCTACCAGAATTCCCGTCGGGCGAGTGCCGAGAGGAGCAGTACTATCGGCATTAGTCCTCCATGGTCACCCACTCAGCAGCCCGTAAGATCAATATGTAGCACATATATTTTCCTATTCCTTTGCCGATTCGTTTAGAACCCCATCTGCCTGCCGTCGGGTTGCTTACTGGAGAGGCCCCGAGTCGTGGCCGGTAAGGCTTAATAGCCATGAGCCGCCCCCTTGCAGTACGATTTCCGTTTTATAAGCGCCTTCCAGATAAAACTTCCCTCCTCTGTGAAACCAAATCCCAATCCGGATATATAATCTTACTATATAGGGCTTGGTTTGTGTTACGTAGGTACCTTTGAGTTCAAAATTTTGAGCAGTTACGTCAGGGGTTGGGGGCGAGGATAGAAACAATTCGACAATCTAAAGGTGAAATACTGCCGAGAAATTAGAGTCTGCCATTGATATACATACTAAACAATCTGCTTAGGTATCATCAATGAGTTTCCAGTATTTCGGTATTATTACACTCTATCTGTAAGCTATCTAGGGTATTGAGGCTGCAAAATAATGTGTCCCTTATGAGGCTTAGAAATCAGATGTCTTGTTTGTGCCGATTCCAGTATCTGTTAGACCTAAAACAGCTTGAGTTCTGTTGTCCTCAGAATTCTATCGTGTGTTTTTATGGGAAAGTTGACCAAAGACCATTAGATCTCCCGGTCCACGATCAAGGTGACTATGGTAGGACAGGGGGCGTAGAGGCATCTTTCACACATGGCATTTCGCCCGGGGAAGCCTTTCTTGGTGATCTGCCAGGGGCTACCGGCAAAATTCTCCATCAATGTGTCCGTGATCGGAAAGTACAATCCGAATTAGGGCGCTATACTTCCTGCTCACGAGATCTTTGACGCATGCGGCTCCGCTCACGCTGTTACGGTTTCACACTCCGATAGAACATAGATCGATCTTTGCGGCGGTGAGTACTTGATGTATCTTTCTTAATCCCTCGTTCCCCTTAGACAATAAGGAATGTAACAGTTGCCTTGTGCCGCCTGGTCGTCCCGGGGGTCAGAACTTGCATGGAGACTACGAGCTCATGCTGTGCCTTGCCCTTTTAATTCAGCACATGCTTAGACCATTTTGACACGGTGATATCATGAACCAAGCTACCGGTACCCACTCACGGAGCTTGTTTTCCATATTGACTTGACCTTGATGGAACGACATGCAACTGAACATGCCTCTCGGTCTCGCCTGTGTTTTCAGCCCATCTTTCTCGATTCCTACGCCTTGGAACTTGCTCAACGCTGAATAAACCAATGCTCTTATTGGTTAGCAACTAGACTTGAAGCTCTGGGCTTCCTTCTTAGAAATATCCTTTATTTTGGCCGGCCGGCTTGTCCCTCCGTTCTTCGGCCTCTCCCTATAATGATTATAGTGGTGACATCTTCCCGCTCTAGTAATCCTTGAACGTAACTCCGCCTTCATTGCATTTTCGGCGCCTTTGCTCAGTATGTCAGGTGTTACAGTGATCCTATCATCGCCTCAGTCGTCACCGAGGCGACCTATATCTCTAGAGGACACTAGATTTGAAGGAAATTGTGTGCGTTCTTGTGAGGCTCTGCGGCGTTTCTCAAACAGAAAGTGCCATCATGAGGATTTGACTTACGAATACTCGGTATGGCTTGAATTTGCGGTTCGTATGTAGCGAAATTCGTGGTATCACGATCATGGCTCTCCTCCTCTATAAGGAGCGTCGAGTTCCGAGTTTGATCAGTCGAGATAGAGCGTAGAAGCACAGCAAACTCAGCTACTCTCCTCTACGATTAACATTAGGAAGTTATACTACTCTTTAGCATTCTCAAATCGCATCTCCCTCTAAGCTTCTTAAATCGAAACAATAACACGCCTACTTCGATACAATGTAAGATAATCTGTTAGCAATCTCAAGACACCGTTTAATAAACCACATAGGAGCGACGAAAGAAGTCCTGACTCCCCAGAGCCCTACTATTCTCCCCCTGACACTGATCTGCGCGACACGGACAATGAAATCGTGTGCTCCGACTGCCACGAGACGGACTATTTTCAACACGACGGCAACCCTGATAATGCATTATGCAAACATTGCGGCCACACTATGTGTTCAGACTGCAAGGAGTCGTAAGCAACAACACACGCTATCTATTATGGTTATTATGGGGAGATGGGCGATAACTAGCCCCTGAAGACCACGGCTATACTTGGAATTGGAATGGGGGCTGTCATTCGTTTATGAAACCATCGGATCCATGGGCTTCATATATGTCGTTTTTATGTTACTGTATTCTGATCTGATTTTTTCTGGCACTGATGCCCAAATGTCATGTTGGACTATGTGATAGAAACCGCATTCGTTTATTAATATAGACAAGACCTCGAGGTACTTTATTTTCAGCTATACGACAGGCAATTCGACCTGTCTTCAAGGAAATCATAACTGTGACTACCTAGTACCTGGTCAAAATTTACGTTTACCCCTTATCTATTCTTTTATCGTAGCTCGCATTTCATTACGTCGGTTCTATTCTATTAGTTATTAATTAGATAGGAGTCAACTATTTATACAATACTATTGTTCGATGTATTTTATGTGGTTAATTAGATGCTATTGGGGTCTTATGTCAACTGCACAAGGCATAGTCGAGTTAGGAGTTAGTGTAGAAATAGGGGGAGCTGAAAAGGGGGAAGTTAATTCGCCCGACCACCACACAAGCCAGGCCATGATTAATAATTGAGCCTTACCCATTCATGATATATAAGCCAAAGCTGGTCCTAGAAGGTATATAGTTATTTATTTCTGACTTCTGATTATATATATATGTGTTGATTACAATATCATTAAACACGCTCGCTAATAAGTATTCTACCAGAATACCTACCAAGTAGGTTACCAAAGGTACGCTATGAGCTTAAACCCACAGGAAATCTTCCAACTCCAATGCCTAAAAAGGGGGTATCTATTATGCACGTGTTTAAACCCTACTCCCTCTTGCAATCTCCTTCATCTCGAACCCTAAACCGTCCTTCATCGCAAGGTCGGCGAGGTCATACCTGGCCAAGAGATCTTTCAGGACGTGGCCCATAGGGTAAAAACTATCGTGGCCCTCGTGGTTGACACAGGGTGACCTTCGAAGGGGTAAAATCCAGTCCAAGACATTGGTGCCCATGACACTTTGCCAATTGCGCCACATGCCGATGTCCCATGGGTTTTCTCCCGGCTCCGTTTTGAGTATAGCAAAAGTGCGAACTGCTAGGTCGTCGCGAGCCGACGACCGAATGTGCACAGCCGAGCCGCCACTCTCATTCGTTCCAGGTCGGGCCGTTCCGTTAGACCAGCCGTTCATAGCCTCACCCGGTCTCGGTAGGGGATACGTCACCACGGTGAACTTATCTGTCGATTCGGTACCGCGGGGCACGCGGACGGCTAATTGGTACACCTTGGATTGATATCCGAGCATATCAACATTCGTCATATTAAGGAATATGTAACGCATTGACGTTACAGTCATTAGAAAAGTAAAAAGACCAAAGAAAGCAGCCAGTACTATGGCAGGTATGAAGTGGGGATCTAATGGAGATCCCTCACTAATTTCTTTTCGAAGACTTGAAGCTGTAGCGCCAAGGACAAGGCCACAGTAGCAAGCAGTATACATCGTAAACTGTACGAAAAATTTGAAGGCTATGAATTATTAATAAACATCAAGTATTTGGTAGGATACCAGGTATTGATGCTTACAGTTCTCTCCTATCATGCCGCCAACCCACGGACAGTAGTGGTCCATGCGGTAGACACAACGATCAATCTCGCTGCTATGATGAACCCGATCTGCTTTCCATGTGGAACATTCCGAGCACCACTTTGGACGACCGTCATTTTCGCATATGAAGACATCTTTTGTGTAAAATTCCTCTAAGCCTGGACTGTCTGGGTTTAGATCGGGGCCGGCGTAATAGGGTAGGCTCTCGAGGTCAGGTTCCTGACGCCTTCGTTTTCGCCGTTCTTTTGCAGCCTTCTTCCGTTCAATTACCCCCGGCCCGAACGGCACAACTCCCGGATCAAGAAGAACTGTAAATATAGTCCTTAAATAGGTACCGACCATCAAGAAGAGAAGTATAAAGTATAAAACTAGAATGGCAATGGCTGCCCCGACCTCGCCTCGTTTGCCGATAAGGTAGTTGGCTAGATAGTGACGACGTCAGTAAACAAAGCCAACTGATTTAGGAATAATAGGTTATATAAGGTCATAACTTACAACAGACCCGGCCGACTACGGCATAAGTAGCATAGCTAACGGCGGCGATGAGGATGAATGGAATTGTACGGGTGATCCAGCGCGTCGCGGCTCGAGTGCTTTCGATAACAGGCATTTCCTACCTCACATCCTGATAGCAATCCGTCTCGAATGTTAGCGATTAGTAGCGCTGGATTCGAGAAAGAAGCGAAAGGTAATTGTCGGATCCCCGACGAGACGAGGGAACTATCGTCGTCGTAAGTTCGTTGTTGTTTGAGGGGGGTAAATTGTATCAAGATTCAAGATTGCATCGGATCTAAACGGGTTCGTGCTAAAATTGAAGCATGGATGCACATTAAATGACCCCCACTGAGGGTCAGTGACAAGGGTTTGCCGCGGGTCATAACTTGCGTGATGTCCTATAGGTACCTACGTACCTACTATTAATAGATCCGAGTTAAGATGTATGTACTTAGGTAATATTATGTACATAATGCACTGCATTAAATGGTCCGTGCATTATACAAGGTTTATAGGCTGATATAAGCTGTCTTAACGTATAGGGGTATCCATGATTTCTTAGGAATATATTCAACAGTATAACTATACGAATACCTACTTAAGTTCTAAGGTACTAATGAAACAAGAATCCTCCCTATCTAGACTTCCCCAAGCATTTCATATAGGTACATTTCATGTACAGTGATTTCTCATTCATAATCCCTTCTTATGGTTAAGCCAGTATACTACTGACCATCAACACGACAGTTAATACCAACCCAACCATGGACACCCGGATATCAGCTGCTGTACTCTGTTTTGATTGGATATAGCTCACGTTCATAGCCTTGAGCTTGATATCCTGGGTTACTTGCCCACTTTCGGCAATCTTGTGTAATTCGTCCGTGAATGTTGCCAATATAGTAGTACTTCGCCCTACCGGACAGAACACGATTTCCCATCCACCTCCGCTGGGAATGACAAACGTGGAGGTCTGATCGTCAAACGCATAGCTGTATGCGTCAGGGCACATAGCCTTGGCATTATACGAATACTGGCTGGGCTCACAGACCCACGGGTCATCGTATTCGCCGGTGCAGCAGTCCTCGGGGTCATTATTAGCGGCGCAGGCACTCTTGCACGGGTCAAAAATAGGCCTATGTAGAGTGTCGTCTGGATATGGATACACGCCATCTCCAGGTTTCTCTGGAAGGAAGGCCTGGAGGTCCCAAGGACACCAATTGCTTAAATCTGCGTTGGACTGTATATCTTCATACGGTATAGGATAGGTCGAGTTAGTATAGGCGAGTCCGGTCTCGCTATAGGGAGCGAGGTACCCGGATGTTCCAATGCATGAAGGATTGACTAGATTTGGTGGGATGTATGACGTGTTGTCTGCTGGATGATAGACTATTGCTATTGGCAGATTATAACCATCGACAAGTGAAATGTCGTAAAAGGTCTGTCTGCCAGTTGAGCCACCAGCAAGATTGAATTCAGCAAGAGTAACAGGTACAGCACCCTATGTTGTGATTAGTAGTTACACTATAATTCCTCGTTCTGGCTTAACTTACCCCATACTCACAATCTAATTTACCAAAACAATCACCAGTCTTACATGTTGCCGTGTCCCCACTAGTGGTACAATTGGTACGTCCCCAGATTCTGCCCTGCCATGTTGGACCGACTGTTTGTTCTTTCGTCTCGCCAGGCTTGAGTTCGAAACCGTGAGAGTCTGGAGGATCCCCATGTTGAGTTCCAATTCCCGGCCATATTGTATCGCCGCAGTTGTTGGTAATGATCAAGGGGATGGCATTCTCATACTTGGTTAAAGGACGGCTCGTGCCTAAATATTGTCTGTTGGGTCCCAAATAGTCGAAAGCATATGACTCATGGTTACTTGGATATACAACTGCTCTTACTTGCGGGAGCTGTGATGTCAAAAAGATACTGGCAACGACCGACAATCTAGTCCTTGCAGAACTATGCCGGCGCTCGCATTGCCGTGACCGTTTAGGCATTGTACTTAATCGCTTCGCTTCTGTTGGACTTATTATCTCTGGCTAGATAACTATAATTATCCTGTTGCGTAGGCAAACTGGCGGGCGATGAAGAGTGTATCCTGGGAGTAGAGTATAGCGAAGTGAGCAGCTCATTATCCGATGAAGTCTTTCAAGAGATACAGGAGCCTTATTCGCCAATAGTAGTAATCGCAGTTATGTTATACACAGACGTTTCAATAGACAATAGAAACCCGAGAGTCGAATTTAGTAAATGAACAAGATAGCCCTCAACCAAATTAGGGAACCGACTTTGAATGGCGATGACTGCCCTAGCCGTTAATTATATACGGGACTAGACCCCGGATTTTATAGTTGGTGGCGTCGTGCGCTAAACAGGGAATGAGGGATGAATGATAACAAGGTGGCAAATCGTCGTGGTTGATCGAGCAGGCTCCGCGAATATTCCTGTCTTGATACCGACTCTTTATAGTCAAGATGCTGAAGAGTAAGCAGGGGAAGAATTCGCGGAGAGGAAGAATATGTAGGTATATCGGAAGAGCAGAAGTACGGAGGAATTGATAATAATAATTTATCCTAGAAGTTGCGCAAAAAAAAGTAGGTATGAAATGTAGAGACACTCTCAGGGAGGCTTGTCGATACAGAATGAAGCCATGTTGAATAGGTACCTTAGGTAGGTAGGTAAGTTCATTGCTAAGAAGATAGAAGGCAAGAAACTGGGAGAGAAGGCCCAATTAAATTGCATTGGATGAAGTTGCCATCGAATGTCGTTTGGTGAGTTGATGTTGGAGGAATGAGCGATGACGCAGTTGCGACTGGTTACCAAGATTTTGTGCCATTTTTCAGGGGTAATATCCCCCTTGTCCTACCTTCCCCTACCTTCCCCAACCTTCCCCAGATAACCTTGTTACTATCCATCAACAGCCAATCATGAGGCCATTTACATTGCATTACAAGTGATCAGGTATATCAAGACTTACATATAATATTCACATCAGAACTGGAATTTTACCACCGCGGTCGCAATCTTTCTGTTAGGTTCTTAAATTATCTGTATACGGTAATCAGAGGCATGGAAAGATCTCTTGCTCGTGCAACTATCCATCTGTCCATCTGCCAACTATTTAAATAGCCACCCATGTCGCTGGTTTAAATTTCTAGAAAAGGAATTTCCCTAAGTGATGATAGCTCGCAAAGAGAAGAGATCTTTCCTTCCTCTCCGTATTGCTAGATTACCTATCAGTCCAAGTACATTGTTGCTCTTTCCTTAACGAGGTATCATGTGAAAGCTAGTAAAAGCAACGCAGTCGGCAAAGACATTAGTAAAAAGGACACCAACCACGAGTTTCACGTCATCTACTCATCTCCGCCCTTCTATCTGAATCTAGATCTGCAGCGGCCCATAACCTCTCCTTGACAGACTAATTCAGCACTAAACTCTGAGCCGTCGAGAGTGAGATAGATGTCGAAGTAAACTCGGTAAAATGTACCCTGTGGCGTGTCCATACGCTCGAAGTCTTTTTCGAGGTTCTTACGTGACAGATCGGATGTGAGAGTAACTACTTCCTTTATACCTATATGATATGTAAGTTACAAGTAAAATGGATCGCGATAAAAGCTAGACAACTTACGAGGATCTTTGGTGTACTCAGGGCAGACATCCTCGTCACAAGCGTACAGGATGTCTTCGTACATAAGCGTAGCACCCGGGGCCACCTGTCGGAAAAAAGATACCTTGACCGGTTCGCCGATCTTGACTTTCTGGCCCTTTTGGACAAAAATCTGCCGAGTGAACTTGCATCTGTCCTTGCCGTCTAGAGATGGCACACGATATGCTTCGGGATGGTAGCCCTCCTTGAAGGGCTGCAGAGTTGCCATAAGATAATGGCGACGAGCTACACGGTGCGTGATAACCCTCTCGGTAATACCTGCGGTGACGGCTCCCTTAACAATGGCGGCAACGGAGTCCATAGGTCGCACGACCTTGGACTGGAACTGGGGAGGCACGTGTAGTTTGATCTGCTGGAAGAGGTATTCGGAAGCACCAAAACCACCAACAACCAAAATGTTTTGTAGCGTCCTGTTTTGGGCTTGGATGGCGATGATTTGGTTTCGTACGAGCTCCAAAATCCGGTTTACGACGGGTTCGAAACATTGAAGAATTTCCTCGTTAGTAAAAGTCATGTAACCTTCTTCGATACCGGCTTCGGGGAATTCAGCCTCAATACCAACATCAACAGCCCACTTTTGGCCGTTATTCCTGAAATCGGCCTTGATTCTGTTCTCAAAATCCATAATACATTTGGCGTACACGCGACCAGCCGTCTTAGATCCGTCTGGTAATTTCATCTTTCGGATCTTGGTGCGTAGAATGTTACTAAAATTCCTGTTGAGGGCAGTGGAGCCACAAGAGTCGCCAGAGCCTGCCGTGCATTCCGCGACTGTGAATGGATTCTCATCCTCGACTTCATATGCAATCAAATCGACAGTACCACCACCGCAATCGACAATCAAGATAGCGTCGTGAACCTTCAAATTAAGCAAGCCAGCCTTGGCACAGAACAGCGATGCGGCCTCGGGTTCGCTAACGAGTGTTAATCTGTTGTCGTTCTCATCCCTGAGGAAGCCGGCCTGGATAGCGGCAGCTCGCGTAGCAGCCTTGCCAGCATCGTTCCAAATAGCCGGGACAGTCAGGTAGTAGCGAATATTTCGTTCCTCTCGATTAAATACCTCACCCAGTGTCTTCTGTAGCGCCGTGCGCATAGCTTGCCGCAGCTTAAACAGGTAGTCTGCGGCCACATCGATTTCCGACTTTCCGGGAGGTAGTGGCGGAAGGTTAATGGGGTCGATGTAAGTGTTACCCGACAGCATAAGCTGGAGTTTGAACCATTCGACCTTTTGGACACCAGGTTTCGGGTAGCCTGTAGGTGCCAGGGCATCAGCAATATCTGGGCCCCATCCAACAACCTTCTGGTATTGGTCGTAGTAAAGAACAGTAGGTATCTTATCAAAGTTAACAAGCTTTGATCAAATGATTATGCCTTTCCTCGGATGTCTTACCTTCTGCTTCGTGTAGGATCCAGCGCCAGGCCATTCTGTGATAATATCCTCCTTCGCCTCGTTATTTGTTGCAAACGCAAAAGCGACACCAGAAAACGTTGTACCCTACGTCTCGCATGATTAGTTTAAAAAATATCAATACGAACAAGAAATAAACAGGAAATAGATAATTCAAACAAATCAACTGAGGGGACGTACAAAGTCAATTCCGACGATTAACTGTGCCTTACTTCTGCTGTTCCCTTCGACTTCAGCAGCCGGCCTGCCATAAGACTGCATAGCGTTGGTCTGTTGAGGAGCGGGAGCAGGCGGCGGGTAACCAGCGTAGCCAGGAGGACCACCAGCAACCCCCGGGGGAGGTTGCGAGCCCGGGGGGGCATGCATCTGAGGAGGGTAGCCGGAGACAGGAGCACCGGTATTGATGGGAGGGGGACCGCCAACCATTTGCGATGGCGGTGTGCGAGCTTGTCCCGTTGTTAAAGGGCTTGTGCGGCCGACAGGAGGTTGAGGACCAGGTTGGAAATTTGCAGTACTATAGCTAGGTGGACGTGGTCCAGCGCCAGGATGGTTCATTATCGGGAGGCTCGTCTGGGAGGACGAAGCTGTTATAGAGGGGGCGACAGGACCAGGATAAGGATGGGGTTGGGCTTGGGCCTGTGGGAACTGCTGCGCTATTTGCGGTGGAGGGGTCGAAGTCGGGGTCGAAGTCGCAGGCCGTTGTGGTTCAGGCGTACTTGAGGGGATACTGGCTGTGGATTTCCGTTTACCTAATCCTAGGCCTCTAAAACGGGAATTCAAATTGTTCAATGAATTCATAAGGAATTAGGGAAACGGAAAGAAGAAGAAGAAGAAAAAAAAAGGGAAAAAAGAGGGTAGATCAAAGAAGGGTGGGAAGGACTTTGTCGCAGGTGTGATCCGATTGATGTGGGATCACTGGGCTTCTAGGCTAGGTTATGATAAGGCGGGCTGAGCTGAGCCAAGACGAAGATGCTGACAGTGTTCCCTAAGAAGAAACCGAGCAAGAGAGATGAAGTAAGTTGCGGCGTTAGAAGAGGGGCTGCTGCTGCTGTTGTTGTTGCTGGTGCTTGCTGCTTTCAAGGTTGCTGCTTGCTGATGGCTGTTACTGCCGGGTTGCTTGGTATGCTCCTGCTTCGCTTCGCTTTACTTTGCTTGCCCAAGTGTAGTAGGAATGATCCCTTGTTTCCCGTTCTGTCCCTTTAGGTTTAACCTAGACTAAGCTAAAGATGTAATAACCGAGTATGCGTGCCGCAGGACGTTTAGGAAGGGGGAGAAACTGGAAGTACCAAGGCCTAAAGTAACACTAAGGTACGAGTTACAAGTACAATCCTGTCAGAAGCAAAGTCCTTGGGTGCCTTTGGTGCATTCGGTTGCCTTTAGTGCTGTGTGTATGTGCAATTCCTTAAACCTAGGACTTGGATTAATAAAGAGAGGACGGGCAAGGCGGGATAGGCCTGAATGGGGCCAGTAGGTAAGAAAATAGTAGAAAATAGTAGTTAGTGGGACACTATTATCGTGGAGGATCAATCAGATCAATTAGATCAATTAAAACTTCAGTATTGCAACCCTGTTCCTTGTTCGTTCTCTCTTTTTTTTATGATTCCACTGTGGCTGATGATGGAGCTGACCGCGTTAGGTTGGGCTGGTTGTATGGGTTGTGGGTTTGCGGGTTGCAGTTTAGCTGTACTTTGGGGGGGGGAGAAGGAAATCCAGGATAATAAGGCTGAAGCGAGTTCTTCTTAACAACCTGCAAAGGGAGTCGAAAAACAAAAAAAAAGTCCTAGATTTAAGGAAGGGAGCCTGTAAGTGGGTAGACGGTAGGCTGTAGGCTGTAGGCTGGTAAGCAGGTGGGTAGGAGAAATGAGACGATGCAACAATACGACAATGACAGTGGTGGATAATGCGAGATGTGGGGCAAACCACATTCACTTACCACTTACACAGGTACACTGCCAGACTGCCAGACTGCCTATATCACTGCTTTGCACCCACTTGCACTGCTAGACTTGAGGATTGTGGCAATGCTACCCAAGTGTCGTAAATCGTCGTAAATTGCTGTAAAAAAAATATTTATCTCGATACTCCCAGGTTTCTTCTTGACTAGTTAATGAGTAACCTAATATTTATGTTTAATGAAGGACCTAGTTATAATACTTACAAACACAATATTTTAGGAGTAGAGTCAACGTGGCCGCACCAATTCCCGTAGTTCATTACTCGTAAATTCGTGCGAGGTATCATGCGAATAAGCGCTTTACTACCTGTGGTTGGCCGATGGTATATATTCGAAGAGGCATACCCGCGCGTTAAGGATTCGGAAAGGATACAATATTCGATATTGCTGATGTGGTAACTCTCACGACCACTTGGATATCTTATAAGATGAGAGATTGCCGATGGCGGTAGTGGCATCTACGTATATGATGACGAACTAGCTACCTGTACACGGAGGAAGAAACAGCTTGGCGATGCCTCACATTTGATTGTACAGCGCCGTTGGAATATAATATATAATATACCGGGAAAGAGTAGGTAGTTTAGATAAACGTTGCCTCGAACGATTGTTTAAATCGTTTGCATTATATCAAAATTGAATTAGTTGATCCAAGTCGTTAGATAACAAGCAACGTTGTAAAAGCTACTATACGCTCTAGATTCGATAAGCGAAGTATGGATGTTGTTTGAGGTTTAATGAGTAGGTTAGTTTGTATTTTCTTGCACGATCCTCCAAATGCCTTCTATAGTCCTTTCAAAGAATAGCTGACTACCTAGATAGCTAGCTTTATGCGACCTAAATCAAAGGTTCTCCGAGTTCTTGCTGCGGCTTCTCCGAGTTCTTTGTTTGCAACGGCCACGAGGGCTTTAAAAAGAAGTTAAGAAGATTCGGCCCTTCCATCATTAGGTATGCAATTTGGTTGGTTCAAATCGCGAGCTACACGCAATCTGTATAGAGATATTTTTTCCCCCAAGACTGCGCCGCCAATTCAATATTCAGGGATTATATTAGTTTCGATGGTATTTTTTTTGAATAACAGAAATACTTTAGTTTGTACAATAAATGCTTGAAATATAAGTATCAGCTGTTAAGCTGAGCTAAACATACTAAGGTTTCATAATTGGTGCCTGACCCGACCACGTTTCTTACGCTAACCCCTCTGCCCCTCTAGCCCCGCCATTAGCCTTTTCCTTCTTATCCCCGCTCTTAGCTTGGGGTGCTGTCTGGAGAGAGAGAGGCTCGGCCAAACTCAGCCTCATATAACTAATTAAATCAGCCACATCTTTTCATAGCAGATATGTACACCAAGAAAACCGGGTCGAAAAGTCGGGGTTATAGGAGGTAATTACAACTATTAATGTACCAAACAGGTATCTTTACGGTATGAATTGTTAGATTCGTCACACCTCCTCAACCTCGTATCTTGGCTTAGACTAGGCTTCCTATTTTAAATATTCACAGCAAATCAGCTTTCTCATTTCAAAGTTAATCAATCTTCAAGAGACGTAATCTTGTTGCATGAAAGACACGTGCTCACGATAGATTTGGCATCTCGACTATTCGAAGGATTCAACCAGTTACATGCATTTATCGTTTCATCATCTCACCAAATGCTACCTAAAGGTTTTAGAGCATAGGAAGGCAAGTCATGTCATTAGCTTCTACTTCTTTGCCCTATATGGTATCATCTATCCACATTCCTATACACGTCCCTATATTGCTCACGTCACTCTGTCAGCTTTCCGTCCAGGAGAAAGCTCCTTTCCATTGGGTACCTTGCATAACGTTGCACTCAGCATAGCTAAGGGATGCACGTTGGTAACTCAAATTTTCAGAAACAAGTTAAACATGCTACTGAGAAAAAAACAGCTGTCCGAAGAAACAGTTATTTGGGTAGCTAATTCAAATGTGTACTATGTACTACTTACAATGCATGCTACAATGTATATATTAATATCTTTACATGTTTAGGAATCCGGAAATCCCTAATGTCAACGCATCTAGACCGCTTGGTATCAGGTTGGGGGCCAGGAGTTTTAATGGTTCTCTCATGGAACCGGTGACTCCCGGACTTCCCACGTGCGTTCGGCATCAATCCGATGAGTCTAGTGGATTTGCATGGTCTCGATAAGGATCCATTGACATTACTACTAACCCGCAAAACAGACCAGAGCACTTACATATTACATATGTGGTTCTGAGGCAGATAGATGTAGTAAATATTTTTATATGGAGTTGCTGCTACGTAAATCTGACTCTTGCAGAACCAGCGCCGATGATCACAGATCAATTATCGGCGTTAACGAGTATATACTAACAATCACCGCCATCAGCGACCTAGCTACTAGCTTTAGATACCTAAGCCGAAGTAGATAGATATAACTTTCTATGTCTAGTGTCCATCGTACCATCGTCCCCCTGGAACCCGCTGCCACTAACACTGCCAGCATACTATCACCCATGAAACCGGATAAAAGAACACGATCCCAATTCTGATCATGCCGATCCTTAGAATGTAGAGGTCCAGATCTGAAGTCCAACGGCCGTCGCCGTCGGAATCGGCGGGGGGAGACCACCGGATACCAAAGCGGGAGATGTTCCCGGCCTAGGTATGCAGGGGTTTCAAGAATCGAAAGGAGCGGAGATTTCGCCAACTATTGCTACATGCTTTAGGTCGACATATCCCTAAAGCGCTCTCGGTAGTGCCGGGAAGGCCGAATTAACAATACTACCCTCCCCACACTCCGCGCGCGCCGTCCATGGGCATTCGGCCTTGGGTAGTAGTTTCTCTTCCATAATAGGAAAGCAATAACACCCCTATTGTCCACCAGTTATGGTTAAGGAAAAGAAAAAGACTTAGTGCAGTTACTAGTTCTTTAGATCACACCAGGTAGTTAATTATTCTTTCTAGGCAAATTGAATATCAAAAGATTATTTCTAAGTAGATCCAAAGAAACACTTTATATTGTTGCTAATTAACCCATCTTAACTATTAAAGAGCTCTAAATCGTTTACCATAGGACCTCACTGCTACTAGAAACTTATATCATTCAGTCATCGGTAATTCTGATGGGGTGATGAGACCATATAGTGACAGTTCCGTAGTAGCAGGTGCATTAGAAACTGTATTAAACTGGTTTATTGTCGAGAAAGGTATATAAAAAAGGCTGGACCTAATATTCTTTCGGAAAGATAAAAGAACATAAATATATATGAATACTTAGAATAATAGTGAATTATCTCATTTAAAATCTACCAAGTCGGACGAAGCAATAGGGGCTAAGAAATATCATAACTAAGGAGCATAGGAGGACCTTAAACTACCTAGGCATAGAATCTCATATTCTACCTAGTTATGTTGTAATACTATAATTTCCGTTACAGTACAACAAAAATTACTAATTTATCAGAAATAATATAACTATTCACGTTCTCGATCGTTCGTCAACTAGAAACATGATAAAGATCAGAAGAACTGATTTATACCGAGGCCATTCAGACTCTTTGTTTAAACATGAATCAACTACATCGTGTCTACTTAATCTTCAAGAGTATCAATAGGGGCATTGTTGTTATTGTCGCCTGTTTCATAGAGAGTGTTTATATCATACACATTCCCGTGGCGTTCAATTTTCTGATTCTGCTGCTTCGTCAGAGTAAAAGTAAGTAAATTACAAAGACTTCTCTATAACTGAATCAAATAAACAAAACCATACAAGTCTCGCATAAGGTAACTGCGTAAGTACGAGACGAGGTAAACCAGCGATTCTAAAGTAGACAACATAAAATTACATTGTTACAATGAAGAACAATCCCGCTGACTGGGTGTATACCGAGACCGATACCGTTGACTGGGATCGCATACTCCTCGATGCGGACTGGGAAAATTTGGATTGGCGGCAACAAATGCTTGACTTTCAGCTTGTGCCCTGGTCAGAGCTACGCAAAGGAACCCTCAGACGGTTGGCAACTCTACACGCACGGTACGACGAGACCCATGTGCCATCGAACTCCTGGCCTGTACGTAGTCCCGCGGCTGATGAATTGCTCCGTAGACGGGAACTGGAAGAGAACAACATCGGAACAGAAAACCAATCCGTGTCCGATTGGCTCTCCGAGGATGTTGAGATGTTTTCGCCGGCCCCAACGCCGGCCCCGGACATCCCTCTTCCTGATCTCCCCGAAATATTTCAGTCGCCAGTTCCTAACACCCCGACCGAGGGCAACGCGACCAGCTGGGGAAAAGGCAGCTGGGGCAAGGGCAGCTGGGGCGAGGGCAGCTGGGGCAGAGCCTCGACGCCAATTAATCAAACAGGTGGGGAAAATAAGATCCCGGGCCTGGTCTACAAGGACGATCCGAACGGATACTGGACGATAGGTTTCGAGCTGGAACTACCCGTCGCCGTCCATAGGAAAGGGGGGCTAATGGCCGAGCGACCTCATCCCCACGACTGCCGGTGGGAAGCTGAGAATATCGTAACCGACGAGGTCCCAAAGCATAGGATCAATCAAGTCACGGTGGACCGTTTTCTCGAGGTACTCAACTCGCAAACCGACATGGTATTCATCCGTCGGGACGAGGACGAGGGCACAGCCCTTCACGACCTAAGGATGGAAGAAATGCATAGGCTTGAACACAGACTCCCTCCCTTGTCGGAAATCATGCACGAAAGTCCGCTGATACCCTTGGCTAAAAAGTCCCCTATAAGCGCGGCAGCTGAGAGCGCAGCAGTGAAGGCCCGGGATTTTCTTAAGTTGAGTTATTTTAACAACTCGACACCCGCTAGAAGCTTTATTTTAGCAAGTCGAGGGGAGCTCCGGGATGCCGCACGGCGAGCCATCATGCCCGGCATACCTAGCCCCTCGGAGAGGCGGGATGCCGAGAACCGTCTTGAGGAATTGCTTCACCTAGAAGCATACATACAAAGGCGAGATAGGCACCATATCCCCTTAATCGGCATGAGGCCGCGGTATCGAGCCTTCTCGGTCTACGCGGTCGACGAGATAAACATGGATTGTACGAAAGGCAAACAGTACAGATTCTTTTCAGACACGGAAGAAGACCCCGAGGATCTATACGGATGGGTAACGATCAAGATCTCGTCGCCGGCAATGCTCTTCGAATGGCCGCCTTCGAAAATCGAGAACATAATCACTAATATCTGTAGAGTCGTACGTGATAACTTCCGCGTTCACCGAGACTCGCCCTGGATCCCCGCGACAACACAGATTTCTATCTCGCATTCCAGCGGTCTTACACTCACAGATATCCAGAAGCTATCGTCGTTCCTTGGCACTGAGGCCGTCTTCAACAATCTACGGTATTTTAACCGATGGTATCGAACCCGAAAGTCGCACGATAAAGTATGCGGGCCCATCCGCACTGTCTCCCAGTTAGGTAAACTGTCACAGACAAACCAGAACACAGACAACTTCAACAACAGTGGGATCGTGCCAGTACACGGGCCTCAACTCACACAACAGCTAAACCAGAGGGCGGCAGAGCATCTACCCATCGATTTAATCATGCAGAGGGAGAATCTAGCGGGTCGTAATTTCCAAGGCATGATATGGCAATATACGAACGTAGACTCTATCGTAGCTGCCGTGGGCACGGGGTCCCGGTCGTGTAAGGCTGAGGTGATCATGAAGTGCCGGGGCTTAGGTACTACTACGGGAGGGGCGAGTCCAAGCCCTGAACAAGAATTGATCCAGGACAGTGTAGACCATGACCGCAAGTTCTTCGAAGTAGATAGACAAAGAGGAGTTTTCGAATTCCGACAAATGGGGGGATCGCTTGACCCATCACACATCACGGCATGGATGAGCCTGTGTTGTCGAATAGTCCACTTCGTAAAAACCTCAACACCGGCGCAGTATCGGTTTGCTTTGGAACAGATCATGGGGGACGGGGTGTCAGTCATGGATGCTATAAATGTTCCCTTTGAGCTCCAGCAATATTTCCACAGCCATGTCGGCCAGAATGGGTATGTGGAGACAGAGTTTAGCAGCAACAGTATTTCTATTGACTGGAGAGACCCCTTCTACCCTCCATACTCAAAGTAGCCTCCGTGGAGTAGAGACACACTAGGTAATGTAAAACTCACTTCTCCGGTATAGAGTATGGCTCGGCATTGTATAACAAACTGAGTATAGCGTTTAGTGATTCCCGTTAGGTGTAGTTAATATACCTTGATGCTTCATGTTCCTGAATTGGTGATTATTAGAAGTAATACGTAAGAGTAATAAATATGACCTCCTTTTTACGTACTTTGACCTCTAAAATATATATATACTGTATCGTCGAGTTAGTTATTTCAGATGAAAGATGCTTCGATGATACCTCCTTTTACTCAGGTCTCGGTTCATACCTGATGCCTACACCGAGGATATTAGCAATCACCTCTGTCGCTGGGGGCTAGTGGGAATATACATCAATTGGGTGATATAAATCAACTACATATAGCCTTCCTACCGCTTCTTGCCACGGTTTGCACTACCACCCTTACTTCCACCTTTCCCCCTTGCGTCCCCCCCACTTCCACCAGCACCTCCACTAAGCATAACCCTTAGTTTCCCAACTGGCACAATATTGACGACTTCTTCAGGTTTGAGAGCCTTGAGAAGATCTACTTCGCGGGGCCACATCTTCTCCTTGTCCTCGCTCTTCTCGTCCACGACACCTTTTTTCGTAGAAGCTGCTTTCCATGCATCTAGGATTTCTTTCACGGCCTTGCCTTTTTTCTGCGTACCAGGTTGCATTTTGACCTTATATTTATAGCGGCCAAGCGCGCTATACGGCGCACACACAGCAATCGCATCAAGAATCTCATCGCCGGGGAGTGGGGTTCCAACAAGCGCATCGAGAGGGGTCAGGTTAGCCGCCTCGTTAGCATCGAGAGTCTCGATGCCCTCTTCGAGCATCATCTTGCGGACTTCCTCATGTTCAGCTGTTTCGCGTTGCTGGCGCTGGTGCTGTGCTCGGCGGCGTTCAAGCGCAGCCGCTCGTTGAGCTTCACGTTCGGCTTTTGCTTTCGCCTCGGCCTCGGCCTTCTGCTTTCCAGCTGCTGCGCCTATCAAAGCTTCGATCGCGGCGCGGTCTTCTTCATCTTGATCCTTGTATTTAGCGGCCTTTTTAGCTTTGCCCTTTTGACCTCGCTTAGGCTGTTGGCCTTTCTTTTGAGGTTGAGGTGTGGACTTGCCCGACGTTTCGGGAGGCAGACTGTTTACCGTTGTCACAGGCGCAGAATCAGCTTCCGTCGCCACCTCGTCTAGATCTTCTTGTTCGTCACCAGTTTCATGTTCTTGAAGCTCTGCAGTATGAGTAGTACCAGGTACCTCGGAGATTGTTAAATTACTCATTCCTTGAAGAGACGGACTTTCTTCAACCTGTTCCCGAGACTCTTGTTCATCGTCATTTCTGTCTGAAGGTTGGAGTGGATTTTCTCTTCTCTCGGTATCCTCCTGGATATCTATAGCGCTGTCTTCCGAGTCACTCTCATCATCATGTTCTACACTCGACTCTTTCGCGAAGTCGGATATAGCTTTGCTACTAGTAGCGTCTGAACTTGACTTGTTCTGTAGGGTTTCCGGGAGATCATAAAGACGGTGTTTAACATGTTTGGCCTTGCTTTCCTCGCTTATCCTAAACATCAACCCAAGACCCAATATCAGTTGGGCGGGAGGTAAGAAATTCTTCTTTCCTCGTACCATAAAGCTACCAGTACCAAGGAATTCCCCAGTTGGCGCCGACTTTGAAACTTGGTCCGCATTCACCCACCACGCACCCATACCAGCCTTTGAGTCCCAGGCAGACGAGGCACAGACTGCCAAAGACCCAGCTTGTGACAGAGTTGAAGGTGGTATAGGTGCATCAGGTGTGCTTGGACTGTTTTTTATGATTATGCTTGGTGCGCCGTGAAGGTCTGCGTGCACGTAGACGTCGCCCTTCTTCAGATATCGTCTATAGAGCATCTCATTCTGTTGGGCATCTTTGCCGCCGAGAACGAGATAACCATCGGACGAGACAAACCATATGAATTTCTCGAACCAGAGCTGCTTCCGAATAGGTTGCAAGACTGGTTTTTCCTGCTTCAGTCCCTTCTTTAACTCGGCAGCAATTTTCTGCTCCGCATTTTTCAATGCAGTCTCTGATTGCAGTACTGTTTTCTGCTCCTTCACGGCGGCATTCTTTCTCTCTCCATAATATTCTCCTGCGTTAGCGAAAGGAGAGATACCAAGATCAATATCAATTGTTAGCCGGGTTTCCTGAGTCTTTCGCGCAGATGCCTCCGTGCCAGCGTAACCGCTATCATCCGAACTGACCGAGTCAGCATCGGATGCCTCATAATCTTCATCCTCATCTTCTTCTTCCGCCTCACCAAGGAGTACAGTGATAGTATTTTCGTGTAGCTTGAGAGGAAGTACAATGATGGAAGCTACAGGATTGCCTCGCTTACGTTCTCTGTCGATAAGCTTACCAATATCTTCCCAGTCCATTCCTTGTTGTATGAGACCATTCACCGCATCCATAGCTTCTCGAACTCTCTCGACATTAGCTTCTATCGTATTGGCCTTCCGAATGTTAAGTTGCTGAACTGCTTGAAGGCCCTCGATCCGCTTAGCATGATCAGCTTTGGTCGCATCTAGTTTGCGCTTAGCGGCGGCTTCCCTCTCGTTTAACTTCGACTCTAGCTGCCGTCCCTCTACGGACGAAAAGAACTCATCTACCATTACGTTGAAGTTTTCGAAAGTAAGCACTGTATAAACAGGATCCTCTTCAAACTGGCGTGGTAGGAACGGGTGAAAATCCTCGTATAGTAGGGCACCTTCCCGCTGTTGGCCATCATCTGCCTCTCCTGATGGCTTATTATCGAAGCCCGGTCTCGTTTTCGCTAATATATAGCCTTTACAAGTGTCGGAACTGGTCACTCCATGGACGACCTTGAGGGCTTCCCCAAGTGACCGCAGTAGATCATCGAGGAGTCCTTCGTTTTCTAATACCGTAGACGGTTGTACACTCGAATCAAACCCTGTGACTTTCATAGCGTGGTCGACTAATATAGGAGGTAGCTCCATGATGGTGGTAGCAAGCCCCCTTCTCAGCTCATCGCCCGGCTTCCTCTTTATCTTCTTACCCGCTGCAGCCGAGACAGTGGCCCTTTGAATAATGGTCTGGAGCGCATTTCGTACACGCTCCTTCGTCAGAGCCGGAACTCCGCCATAGTTCTGTCTGTTTTCTAGGGAATACGTAAGACCGGGGCGTTGAGGCTCCTGGCCTTCTCCCTCGGGAACATGTCGTAACAGCGTTAGAATATTGAGCTCCTTGTCTGTTAAGATGACGTTGCCTCCAGCAAAGAATTCCAGGTATAGTCTGTATTGACCGTCACTAAACTGGAATTCGATGATGCGATCAGTACCTATTTGCGAAACAGCGGTGACTCGTCGGGTCTTCAGGGCCTTGCGCAACTTCTGGACAAAGACGGAGGGAGCGGCGGCAGTTGTTCGCGCAAAGTCGGTAAGATGGCATCGGAAGCCAGAATCTATAAGGAGTTGTTTCTTGACTTCAGGTTTCGCAAGTTTGAAGAGGAGAATTTTAGAAGATAGGTCATAGATGTTGTAAACCCGAAGGGATACGAGACTTTTAGATAATTCGTGAGCGATGACCTAGAACGAGAGAAGGGGATATCGGTTAGCGATGCTTAACTGAGGTTGAGAATGGGAATGGGAATGGGAATGAAAATGCTGTGGAGGTTTACCTTGACATCCAATGAGGAAAATCTTTGCTTCATTTTCCTTGTCCATCCATATATCTACCTGCAGCCTACAACGGAGTTGCCGATGCGATTCACTTGGGTACCTCAGGTAGGTATCTTAGGTAGATATGTTCGATCGCATAGATGATGTAGTGTAGAATAACTGAAAAGACACGCGGGGCAGAGAGGCAAACTGACGATGTAAGAACGGAACAGTTTTAGAACAGTTGAATTAACGGTCCTATAGTTATTTCTTACCATTATTTCTAGCCGTATTCCGTATTTACTAATGCATTATATGTAGATACCTAACATTAGTTAGGTAATTATACCCTAATATACGTATGAATATAGGTACTTTTCATAATCCGTATTAGGTGCAGAAATGGCGGGGCTTTATTATAAATCCAATATTTACGTCATTGCTCCTAACAATTTAGATATCGGATATTTCAAGTCATAACATCAACTAATATAATATATACTACGAATTTTAATTTCATTCCAATGAAATAACAAACTGTTATTTCATAATATTCATTCTTCATCCTCTTCGAAGAGTTCAATCCCGTCCACGGAAACTTCAAATCCTAGTAAAACCATCGTTAGTTAGCAGAAATCACGACAAGTTAAGTTTAGTAAGAGGTAACTTAAGAGGTAACTTACCGTCAGAGCCTGTTGCTCCAAACGTGATAGTGTTCGCATCACCAGGCTTCAGAGTAAGCTGGACTGGGGTAGAAGTGTGGTATCCCGCGCGAGAGTTTAGGCTTGAAATGTTGACGGCAGGCTCATCATTGACAAAGATGTGAGCCTCACCAGCTAGAGCAAGGGTTTATTAGCTTCGATGCCTCTTACACAAATTAGAATATTGTTACTTACCCTCTGGGTTGGTGACTCGGTAGTGAAAAGAAAACCATTGACGGGATCCGGTGCCGGTAACATTGTGGAAGGTTACTTCGCTTGAGTCGCTCACTATGAATGTGATTAGTCTAGTTAACATGTCTCGTTCGGGGTAGAATGTAATAGGGCTTACCTCCGTGTACAGAACGCTTGCTTAGACATTCATTGCAATCTTTCACCACTATTAACTGTCAGCCCCTGAATTTAGAAGTTGCGATTTTGAGTACGGTACCTGTCCTGCCTGACAATATGGCATGCTCGGCCTCATAACGCTTCAGTGTGCTAGGGTAAGAAACCACTCCAGTATTAACATCGACTTTCCACATCGAATGGTAGTCAATCTGAACCGAGTGCGATCTATACAAAGCACAAGTAGAGTTAGCCAACACAGCGTCTAGTTATCAGAGGCTTGATATTCTCGAATCACTTACCCGGCATTGATGTTCAGGGGTGCCCATACATAATTCGAGCTTGCTCCTCCTTTCGAGTCCCAAGCATCTCCCATGTAAATATAAGTGGTCTTTTGCGAGCCCTTAACCGTCAACTCGAATGTATTCTGCGAGCCGTAGGTTTTCTGGTCTTGTGGAGCGATATCCGACCCCCCAGCCCAAGGGCCATTAATCGAACTTGACCAGAAGACCTTGTTGGGGTTGGCACGCCAGCCAGTCTTCCCCGAGACGATCAAGAAATACACGCCGTCGGCTTTCACTATGCCTGGGGCTTCGTATGCTCCGCTTCCTATTTAACCGCATTTAGTAGTTATTGCACTCTAGTACAGACTAAAAACCTACTCAGATCCGAAACTTTGTCGCCCAGCGTACCGTCCTTGTTGATACGGTTAACCTGGACGACATTGTGGTCGGCGCTGGTTAGGAGAAACCATGTGTCTAACATTATGTATCCGTTAGTTAAAGAACTCCTCTATATTTTATAAGCTCGCCTTACCTGCGTCTTCGTCGTAGAACATTCCAGTATCCGAATAGGAGTAGTCATTTGGCGGGATATGAACCTTGGCTGACTGGCCATAGCCCCCGACGAAGTTCGCCGACTTTAGGGAAAGAACATAACGGTCTTGCTGGCCATACAACTGTCGCCATCCACCCAATTAGTAAGTTTCTAATAAGGAAGAATGTTTCCGGGCGAAGTATCTCATACCCAAAATGAACCGTTCGGCTTTGCTATCTTTGGCCGCCACATTCCAGTCACAGAGCTCGCCTGTTTCCCAAGGTTCTTCCAATTGATAAGATCGGTGGATGAATACAAGTTCGGCGTTTGATCTTGAAGATATTGTTAGTGATCAGCAAATTAAAATATGATGGACTTAGAGGCCATTTACTGCTAGCTGCCTGACCGACCCAGTAGAAGGTATCGCCACGCTTCACGACTCCTCCTCCATGAGCATCGATTTTGTTCCCATCGGTGTCATACCACACAGCACCTGGCGCAATCCATGATGCGCCTAGGGCGCTGGTTGCCGCGTAGGCCCACAAGAGTGAAGATAGCTTCATATTTTGTCGTAGCTTATCTAATTGGGCTAGGTAGCGATTCAGCTTGCACGTGCTTCTACGTATATACTCATCTAGCTACGCCGATCTTCGCTCCTATATCTCATATTATATACAGCATCTGTAGCATCTCTTATGCCCACCGGCTCTCGGTGTAATGTCATGGCGAGCCTGATCGGATAATTAGTGGCTTCCATAATTTTTCCCTTCGTCAATGTCACCGTAACGGAGGGACGATCGTTTCGGGACGCGGACGTATTCCCTTTATAGAAGGCTAGACAACACCAAATCAGTGTCAAGTTCAACACCCTGAATCAGATAAACTATAATCTATGCAGTATGTCTTTTCTTTCTTGCATTTCATATATAAGTGTTCTCTATCGAATCTCGCGCCCTCCGGGCACTAAGTACTCCCGAACGGGCGCGTTTCTTATCCATCTCTGAGTATTTTCGAATACCGTTAAACCCTAAATCCTCTCCGGTGGCTCCTCTCCGGTGGCTTTTAAGTCCCATACTATATTGTTATTGGTGCAGAAATATTCCTTAGATTTGTCCATTTCTTGATTAATGCGCAGCGACTAGAGAGCGCGATACTCGATAGACAGCGCGCTCTAACATAAAGTTGATTTAATAGTATTCTGGAAAGACTTAACTAGTTGACAACACCCAAAGTTCCATCAAGCGTTTGATGAAACTTCTCACCATGTATATTAAATGCAGGAACTGGATTGAGGTGGATTAGCCGACTATGTCTAAATGGCATAGTAATCGCACCAATAAAATCATTTAAGAAGGACAATAGAGCAACACACCATTCAAGGCTGCTATCACCAACAGCACCATAGCTTTGCTAAGCGCCTTTTCGAATCACGTCATTATATCTTTAGTAGCTACTTTGTAATAGTATAGTTGATTTGCTTTGAAGCCGACTAACACAGGCCACCGAAGCATACGATATACTCATCTGCTACCGAGCTATAATCCAAGAATTTAAGCGGAGCGTCTATGTCTCACATGATTGTCTAATAGTCGAAATGATGTATACTTACGTTAACTATACTAAAGGTCACACATGATTGATATCACATATACTAAGATCCTTTATCACAACTTATATCATATTGCTGAACGGGTCTATGGTAGAGGCTTGTTGTTTACCTAGACGAAATCTACCCAGGCGCCTTAGGAATTGCTCAGCATTTTGCTCTACACTCAATAGTGCAAACAGTCAATGATGCCCAACTCAAACAATCCGATTTGATATTAAATCTATATCCACCATTGCGCATAAGATGATGGATACGCGTGGAGAATTGCTGCACCTCTCGCTACCGAAGCTAGGCAAAACGAAGCATTCCGTCGGCATACCCACCCGACGGACCCGTTGCGGACTAGACGTCAAACTTCTACAAGAATCCTGATTTCGCCGCGTATATGTGGCAAGTCCACATACTATATTCACCATCTTGCATCATGGAGGCCATAGTGTGGCGTGTGCTTGACGTTCCACGAGGCGACACGAATGTGAAGTTCCAAGGCATCTTTCCCCTGACGCTGTAGCATGCATCTACGGGCCCGTAGTCAAAGGCGAGGGGCGTCACTATGTACATCTTCTGAACGGGACTTTGCAGATTGACACGACTGCCGCGTTTCATGGTCGAGCACGGGAAGCGAAAACTGCCTGAACCCGGCCCCCCGACCGACACTCTCGCACGCACCGTACGGTGGTCAAGCGGATACGGCGTCTCGGTACGTGGGGATAACCGTTGAAACCGGGTCGAACAACGCATACGGGTATGGAGACAGACCCATAACAACCTGTCGACAAGGAAATTGCTACGGGTTGCCCGCGTGGATAGACGGTCCGGCTCGTGCGCAAGCCAACGTGTATATCTGCAATATAGAGATCATAGTGTGAGCGGGTATACTTGCATGTGGGTAGATGGGGGCGTCGAGAAGCTCTATCACCATACGGTAGGTATAGCTCTACGAATTGAGCTACAAAGGCGACAACAATGTCTTATCGCGTGGCATCGAACGGGTGGGAAAAGAACGACAATGTCTTAATTTGAGAAGCTTTAGCTTTATCTTGACACGACTAATGGCTACTTGGCAAACACTCGACGTTAGGATTTCCCACACCGCAGCATTCGGACTCGTCCTACGATAGCAGACTCAGCTCGCTTACCGGAATAGCTACTCGCAGTGACTATACGTGGGCGTGCTCTGCTGGCGCTGGATGATCGCTTATTCCAAGAGGCAATAGTCTTCTAAATCATTAGGGGTAGCCAAGCATTTTCGAGATGTTTTGAGCGGTAAGGACATCATCTCAGAATAGCCTACTAGACCTACATCCACTGTCATCGTCCTCCCCGCCTCCTTAAAGCTGTATCGTAATTATTCGGGTCACATTGGGTGCTTCTAGGTCACCGTCTTTGCATGCTGCCCTTGAACCCCTAAATGAGAATTTGCAATAGCTACGGTCTCTATAAATTGCTAGGGTATACTATCAAAGACCGTATGTAGAGCTGAAGAAGGGACCCTATTCAGTAGGGATTTGAATATCGCGATGATTCAACCCTACCTACATCATCACAAGTGAATTAGCACTACCGAGGCACTTAGAATCCTATGCCTAAAGTTCTCGTTCTTATCGTAACCTCAGTTGTTTAAGCCCGTAGAGCTTGATTGATTGGCGTCTCGACATACTGGCTATATGAACGCGTTTGAAGCTCCAATCGGGTTAAAAAAAAAACCTACTATGTAGACGCTGCCAGGCTGTTTGATACCAGGCTCCGGGACAGGCTTAGCTTCGTAACATCTAACATTGAATCCAAGCTTATGTCAGTGCTTTTTGAGGGATCTTCGGATACGGTAATTCGATAATGTTAAGATCTCGCGTATAATTAGCCATCTACTAGCTAGTTGCATCGATTGCGAAACAGATCTTCGAGCTCGGACATGTGACGAACAATAGATTCACGACAGTAGTAGAACCGGTTGGCAACAGCTTCTCTCAAATCTCTCCAAATCAGGAAGCTAATAGCTCGTAAAAAATCCTGGCGTCTCCACTTTGAATCCAGAAGGTAAGGATCTGTATCAAGTAGCGCGGTTTTAGTAACCGGTTGTCATAGCAACGAATTGGAGATTTGGCGATCAGGGGTAAATTGGAAGGTCAGCAAGAAACGTGGACCGAACACTTCTTCCGGTATTCAAGACGTGTTAAGGAGTGTTGATGGCTTGGAACATAGCAATTGACCGGTCGATGTCAATCAATTGGTGACATCAAGACAATTTAGGAGGGTTTGAGTTGAATTTATCGAAAGGTAGCTCTAGTTGTACCAGATTTGAAGGTAGACCCCACCCGACGTGAGTGAGATCTGACGCCCTGTGGGACGGACTATGGGACTGTGGGACTGACAGTGTGCAGCGGAAGAGCAAAGCTCACTTTGATGTAACTGCTCAGCCCGTCTGCATTAGGCGTGCATAAGTCCAGCTGAGTCGCACACCATAATCCACTGCATAACCCAATGAGCGGAACCCACGATATTACGCGTAATTGAAGATGCCTTGCTTTAATCTGCAAGTGTCAGCAAAGGTGGTTGGGAATCATGTCATTCCCAGTCGTGATTCGTCCGTGCATATAAGACCGATTCAGCTATCGGTTCTGTAAGTGGTTGGTTCTTTTTAGTGCCCAGCTTTTCGAAGATGAGAAAATGAGACGCTCTGCCTGCTTTTCTCGGGAGATACCAGCCTCTTCGATTCCTCGATTTCCTACAGCGGCAGGCAATCAATAGCTGCTGCGTAACCCAGTCTGAACTGTGAACTTCTTACGGTAGGTTTAATATGTGTGATATGTGCTGCAATAGTGAGCGGTGAAATCGTATTATTATGCAAACATTAACACTGATTGAGGTTGATACATACGAGAGTTCCATGGGCGATACGCACGTTCGATGCTAATAATTCCTAATGGTTGAAAATAGTGACCGTAAGTCCTCAACCTCCGTCTATCGATTTGAACCGAGCAAATACACTAGAGACATGGATATCACAACCGAGGAAGGCTGGAAACTTGGCCTCTTTGTTTTTTGTTTTGGTACTCAGACACCCCCCTACTATGTACGTATTGTACCTAATGTAGGCTATCAAAGCTAAGAGGAGGCTGGACCAGCTGGGGGTTTTCGCTGGTTCGATCTGATCATCACGGTGGCCTAGTGACCCGGTGGTCCAATATGGATAGGCCATTGGGTGGACTTCCCCGGCAAACGGTGAAAAGCGAAACTACAGGCGAACCAGAAAATCCAGGGAGGAGGAAGGAGGTTGAACCGGGGGGAAGGGGGGGGCTAGAAATGGCTGGAAAGAAGACAGTGTAAAGAGTAAACTTGGTTGTAACTTACTGCCCCCCCGTGCAAGAAACCGTCTCAATTTCCCTGTCTTCTGTAATATCCCCTAGTCCCCAGCCGCTTAACTTGTTTTGGGGTAGGATAAACACGCCAGACCCATGAATGACCCACTCAAGTAAACAAGCTCCTTCCCATTCAACCCCTGTAGAAGCTTCGGACAACCTGCGAACACGACCTGCCACGCCAGTGCTTCCTTCCCTCCCACAACAACCCGCAGTAACCCACAGTGACCCCCCCAGTACAGTACAATAACATCGGTACTGCCCATCTTTCTCCCTGCAGCATCTCCTATTTCTTTCCTTCCAATAAACTGTTCTGACACTTCACCTCCTTTTCTTCTAAACCATCAAACCCCAAACATCTCTTTCACAACCCAATACAGCCTATCTTTCCCCGCTCTTCCAGCCTGAACGAGAGAATCGAGTACAGAAGCGAGCAATTTCCGCCTGCTTCAACTCCCTTCTTTTCTTTCAGTATAGTAGAAAGAAGAGCAAGAGGAATCTTCTTGTCTTCCTTTCGCCCTTAGTCGAAAGGTTGTCGAGGAGAGGACTCTCGCGCCGAAAAGGTCGCCAACCTGGACTTTGAAGCCCGCGTACCGGTCCCCTTTAGTATCTTCCCTCGGACATACAAGGAGACTGAGGTAGAGACCACCACCCACACTCACGAAGAGATTCAGATCGATCTCCCCGGAAAACCAGAGAAAGCCGGACGGGAAGGTCAATACTCTTCTATCTCTGCTTCAGCTCAGTTACCGCCGCCGCGTCCAGAGCCACACTTCAGCGAAGAAGAGGTCCGCATCACACGTGAAGAAGAACGTTACCGCCGTCCCGGTGCCCACCGTGAGCATTACGAGGAGCACAGGTCAGTCTACCATATTTTCTTGATTCTTAGAACCCTTCTTTCCCTCGTAAAAGAGCTAGGACTTCAATAATTACGCAACTGGTTCCATTATCAGAGCCCGAGCTCCTGGTCAGTGTCAATTCCGGCCCGCAATGGATTCAATTGAACTAAATTGGCCAATATGGAGCCATGGGTCCAGTTCATTTTCCGGGATCCCTGTCAAGTGGTGGTTGGGCCCTTGGTCAATCCTTCCCCCCCCCCCGTTGCTCGTTGGCTAAGTAACTTGAAAAAATATCTTCAACTAACAACAAACCTCTTCCGATAGACCTCACACTTCTCACACTGAATCTCATTTCAAGCCCAAGCACTCTCGTCCTTCATCTTCTTTCTCTTACGCAGAGACTTCAATTGAGGTCGACCGCCACAATCCCCACCTTAGTTCCATTGACCGCATCGAACGTGAGTATCGCGCTCGAGCTCAACCATCCGTCTATAAAGACAACATCAGCGTAGCTGCCAGTACTGTCGACCCTCCCAGGCCAGTCTCTCACTTCGCCACCGAGCATACTCACGTCTCTGAGTCTACTATCGACCCTCCCAAGTCTTTCCCCAGCTTCACAGAGGAAATCCGCGTCAGCGAATCAACTGTTGATCCCCCTAAGGCCGGTTCATCCTACCACAGGGACGCAGAAATTGCCGAGGAAACCGTAGAGTATCCTCGACAGCCTCCTAGCCCTAGCTCTAAGAAGAGTAGAATGGGATATTACGACTCAAACGGTTAGTTCAAGTGCTAGCCTACTATTAGTTGTAAACCAAATTACTAACTTGCGCAGGACACCACCACTCACTTCGTGAAGGATTACACAAGATGGCTGACCGTGTCTTCCACTCCGAGGGCGAGCGTGCCGAGATCTCTCGTGCCTCTAGCTCCAAGTCCAACGGAGCTCCTTCCATTCCTAACACTGTTACCATCCCCTGCCACCATGTCCGCATGGGTGACATTTTGATCCTCCAGGGTCGCCCCTGCCAGGTCATCCGCATCTCGACCTCGTCGGCTACTGGCCAGCACCGTTACCTCGGTGTCGACCTCTTCACCAAGCAGCTCCACGAAGAGTCTTCTTTCGTCTCCAACCCTGCTCCCAGCGTTGTGGTCCAGACCATGCTCGGTCCCGTCTTCAAGCAATACCGTGTCCTCGACATCCAGGATGGTTCCGTCGTCGCCATGACCGAGACTGGTGATGTCAAGACCGGTGTCCCCGTCATTGACCAGTCCAACCTATGGCAGCGCCTTACCCAGGCTTTCAACGCCGGCCACGGCAGTGTCCGTGTTCTCGTGCTGAACGATGGTGGTCGTGAGCTCGTTGTTGACATGAAGGTCATCCACGCCTCCAGCTTGTAAAGATATTTTAGTGTGTGGGATCAACTGTGGTCAATGTAATGTCATCATAAAAGGGGAGTTTTCTTATGCTGATGGTTTATGATGGAGTCGCGGTTGATCTCAAAAGATTGCTTCTCAGATCTTTCGCGCGTAATTATGTATGGATTGGAAAAAGGACGTTGCGGATTTTGGCATATATCAGTTAATAACATAGTTCTGTATATGGATGGTAATACAATGTCAAGTCTTTAACGTACATACCTTATTCTTGTCTTGGATTGTTTCTCTGTATTTCGTGCCTATCATAGTGGTCGCTTATCCTTACCTAAAAGGTACGATGGTCATCAAGGTGCTTGGTGTGATGCATCTAATGTATGTAATTCTATCTAAGGTAAGGTTCAACCGGGGTCACCGGACTGGAACCAAGTCTCCCTTCTACCAATTAGAGTACAGGTTTCTGCTTATCAAGCACGTAATATCATAAGACGCAATCAGAAACAAGAAGCCCACCTTCTCAACTTAGCTAAGTTGCTGATAGCTATTATTCCTCTTGATCCCTTTGTTGAGATAACCTTGTAATCTTTGCCTAGGGCATTATTTCCAATACGTTAGATACCTGATATCCTAACTGTATACCTTAGGTATACAACTCATTATACGATCGTGAATAACATACTAAATTTCTACATAAACTCCAAGTCCACTAAGAGAATATTAAGATAGGACCTCCAAGTCGAATCTCGTTATCGCTTTCGTTATCGCAACCATCATGGGTGCGCAGCAGTCAAAGGACTCGCCTGAGGTGATGGCAGCTGTCGCACATGAAAAAGCCATATTAGAACGTCTGCAGGCGCTTAGCTCAGAAGACGGCTTTGTCCATGTTGATCACGAAAAGGGAGCACTCTTCAATGGTGGCATATCTAGACAGCCGGAAAAGCTGGCTATTGAACTTACGCAGAATTGGCAATCTAAGGTGCTTGCAGATCCTAAGAACAGGTTTGTAATCTTATATTCATAAGAATAATTACTAGTAGCATTGATGCCTTGACTAGATTAGCCCTCTCGGCTTTCAGCTCTGCGAACCCTCGAGATGTTCTGGCTTCTCGGGCGACTAAGATTACGGACCAGCATGTGTTCAATGTTCGCATCCCGTTCGAGGGCGCTCCTATCACAAATCAGCGATCCTCGGGACGATGCTGGCTATTTGCCAGTACTAATATATTCCGGATTGCTATCATGAAGAAGTACAACTTAGACTCCTTCGAGCTATCACAGGCTTATCTGTTTTTCTGGGACAAGCTTGAGAAGTCTAATTTCTTTCTCGAGAATATCATCGAGACTGCTGATCAACCGTTGGATGAGAGACTAGTCCAAAGACTACTTGCTGACCCTATCAGCGATGGTGGTCAGTGGGATATGGTTTATAACCTGGTTGAAAAGTATGGTCTTGTACCCCAGACTCTGTACCCTGATAGCTGGAATGCTATGACGAGCAGTACTATCAACTCTATCGTTATCGCTAAACTACGCGAGTATGCTGTTGTCCTGCGCGATTTAGCCAAAGGCTCGGCGACAACTGCTGCGAGTCTGTCGGCTATCAAGGACAAGATGCTACGAGAGGTGCACCTTATCTTGACGTTGACCTTAGGACCACCACCTAGCACTTCCGAGGAGTTCGAATGGAATTTCCTAGACAAGGAAGGGAGGGCACGTTCGGTCGTTGCGACGCCGTACAAGTTTGCCAAGGACATCTCGTCGCAGGAGTTCCGCATTACCAGCTCTGCTATCTCTAGTATGGTCTCCCTAGTTCACGACCCGCGCCACGAGCCTCTAAGCCTGATGACTGTCGACCGTCTGGGCAATATCGTAGGCGGTAGGGGAATCACGTACATCAACGTTGATATCGAGACCTTGAAGCAGGCGTGCATATCCATGCTACGAGCCGGATTGCCCGTCTTTTTCGGGTCCGACGTGGGCAAGTACAGCGAGCGGGGTAGCGGTATTATGGATCTAGACCTTTTTGATTACGAGCTTGGCTTTAACGTCAACCTCTATGGAAAGCTGAACAAAGCGGCTCGCCTCCGCGTCGGCGAGTCCGCGATGACCCATGCCATGGTGCTGACGGCGGTCCACGTCGACGGCGACGGTCGGCCCGTCCGCTGGAAGGTGCAGAATAGCTGGGGCACGGATGTCGGGTCCAAGGGATGGTTCGTGATGAGCGACCGCTGGATGGACGAGTTTGTATACCAGGCTGTGGTTGACCCGAAGTTCCTCGCTAGAAAGGTTAGAGACGTGCTAACTAAGGAGCCGATTGTGCTGCCCCTATGGGATCCTATGGGGAGCTTGGCTTAAGTGAAATCTTACGGAGGGCGATTGGAATTTAGTCTATGGTTATGATCATGGCAATGATAGCATGTATGAGAATTTTGATCTACTATTAGGAATGCGTTTAGGCCGATCATCTATATCTTATTGATTGTTGGAATAGCTTAGCCGATGGTTTTCATGGGTTATGCTTTATGGGAACTCTAACTTTAAGTTATTATGAACTTGCGAATACTGCTTTGTATGTTACCGTTTACTTCGTTGATTGTATAGCCGGTTTGCTTTAGGCGGCGAGTTCCGGCTAATAGTGATTTCTACGCTCGCTTCATCTTGAAGGGCAGCCCCTACGCAGACGAGAATTCATAAGTTTACTCATTGCTACGAACCTGTGTGACTTGGATGAAGGTCTTGTCTATTGACTTACATACGGTGTCTTCTTACCTCCTTACCGGTTTGCAAGAATAGTGGGCATATAGATTGGCTGGTATATGTAAGTAATATGGAAAAACAGGTCTCTGAACCCTTACAACCCGATAGGCAGCTAGTCCCGTTGCTTTTTCCACTTTTTCTTTTTTATTCTCGTAAGCCGCCAGGTTTCTAGGCGGCGTGAACTAAACCACCTGTATGTCTAGCTTTTTCTATCTTAGGGTCCACGTACTGTATGATACCTTTCGGGCGATGGCGCATACGAGAGGGAGGGATGGGATTTATCTTGACTGGTCTAGTGGAGTCAGACGAGATTGACGTCGTAAGGAAAGGGAGTTGCGGTATGGGGACCACTGGCATCGAGAGTCAGTATCAGAAAAAGGAAAGAATAGGCTGAAGGCTCGTTCATAGATGAATATTGTAAGACGCTATTTTGGTTGACGGGTCGGCTTGGTGGCGTAATACCTGGAGAAGGCATTGCCGGCATGGGAAAACTGCATATACTAGGGTGTTGACAGCGGAACCGATCGGGTTGGTGGGTGAGATCTTACGGGAACGATATCGATATTATTCCTTTTGTTTATATGAGCTGATGGAGGCAACGTGGAAGTTGGTACTCACCCCGATGCGCTGAGTTGTTTTCCCCCCTTTCTCCTTTTCTCCTCTTGGTCGGAGCCTCGATGTTCTCGCGATCCACTTGGGATAAACCGTTGTGCATCCGGTTCCACCCAACCGCTCTTCAGTAATATGTATTGAAGAGATTCCCGGCGACACCCCAGTAGTGGGCGGAGGCGGCCTTTTGATATTAGGGGTCCACGTTTTGGAACACTGCTTAGAGATGGAGCTCTCGTGGAGCCTCATGCACGTAGGGTCCCTCGATCTAGGTGTTTTGCTATTTGCCATTGCGCAAGCTAACATCTATCTGCGTTGCTAGCGTGTTCATCTCACGGGTGTAACGCCGCACATATGAGTGGCTTCCGTCACACCGTCATACCACATCAACAAATATAAGCATATACGAAAGAGAAATGCAGATGGGTCGGACTCGGTTCGGTTCGTCCTTCTCCTTTTCGTTCCCCCACGCCCGACGGCATTAGTATTGGGGGCCACCGGACGCTGGCCGGGCGACGGTACCGGGAGATCGACTGATCTGAGCATATCGGTGATTATCTAGAGCTGTGCGTGTGGCAGCCACTTTGCACGCCATGTGTCAGCGGCGTCCCGCGATCTACCCATGGGGGTAAAGGATAGGGTTTCACTACCTACACAGATGGGAGATGAGGCTATCTGACGCTTCGCAAAAAGGTGTTATGACATCGGAAACATGGAATTGATATGAAAGATGACGATACGTCGTCGTAACACGGAGTAAGAATAGAGACGAATAGATGATGCATCAGCTAGAGCTATAGTAAGCTCGGGGATTATGGTAGCCTGGCCACATCCCTTAACCATGCTTTCCGCTCAGTGGTTAATCTTGGGAGCCTTGTCAAAAAAACGCCTTGGCTATCTGAAACCGTTGCTTTACTTTTCTTTTAACCCAACGTGACAAGGTGGTAAGAGGTAGTCATGAGATTCGACTGGGACTGATGATCTGGCGTCTGTGCTACCCATCGTCGAAGGTCACAGGGGTTTAAGCTGTAAGTACACCTTTTAGCTAGTTGACCGCTTGAGAAACATTCTAGAAAACTCGAGGACTAATCGGAGAATAGGTAGTGCAGCATTGGTGAATCAAACACGACCGCTGAGTTGTCCGACCATGATGAAGCGGCTAGAATAAGACTCGACGGTCTTTTATCCAATGCCGTACGAAAGCGCTTATTGTTTATCTTTGCCTGTTTGAAGTTGTATCAAGGGGAGAGCGGTGAAGTTCAGGGCAAGTTTTCGGACTACGGAACCTGTTCAAAGGACAACTTCCTGCTGACCTTAGACACGGCCGTATCCCACGATACTTGCATCCAATAGCACCCGCTATCATATGAAGTCCATTCTCGTTGGATTGTTGGTAAAGCTTGGTGTCCGGTAGGTAAGGCTTAGCCTCCAGGTGTTTGATTTTGTTGGTTGATTATGCCCCTATCAAAATCAAGGTCTATTCGAGGTCTCAAGTGGGCTGAGGGAGCGGGAAGCGTAAGTTAACCCAGGTACACGGCGCCTAAACCGACTACGCGCCTGTACAGACCTATCTACCACGTGTGTTCAACTTACAAGGGTGACTAACACGCGGTCCCAAGAGTTTGAAGGGTCACATTTGAAAATCTATATTTTATCATCGGGCATAACTGGACGGCCATGGATCGGCCAGCTCTTTGGCCTAACTAGCTAGGATATGTCGTGGAAACTGACTTCTCATGCTGGTGTTATGTATAATATGCTTTGTGCGTATATCGAATGTGCTATTTTCGCCCAACCTAGACTAGGAACCCTAGATTAATGAAGAGCCGGGCTCTAGGTATCATCGACATCAGTCATCACCCCAGGGTCGGCTGTCGACGGAGCTTTTGCTACGGCGTATCTTCTAACTATCTCCTTATTTCGTATGAGTAGGTGGTAAATGTATAGACAGTGCGTGCGAATGTTATAGATAAAGGATGATGGTAAACTTCACTGCATAACGTGGTTACAACATTCGTGCCTCTGAATCTTCCATCTCTTAACTATGGAAACGGTCTGACTTCCATCCTCGATTCACACCATTATCTCCGTTACTAAATTAGGTAACTCCAAGTAGGGAAACTATAAGAAGGCAATTTGAAACGGCCTTTACATAATGTGCCTTGGCTTATGAATAACATATGATTCGAGAAGAGCGATATATGTAATGCTAAATGCCGCGAGGGGTCCCGAAGAGTTGTCAAGCATCGCATCCCTTGATACTATAGCAGCCCAATCATACAGGGGAAGTTGAATGATTCGCCACTTGGGCGGCTTTCTTTTTACTCTCACCACGGTAGACCGCGAACTGTCTTTTAGTAGCCAAGGTAAATGTCTACGCACGTAGTCCTGTCAATATTAATCGCGAGTTGGGCAACACGACATTCGACTACCTGAGGATAACCGTCTAGCTGAAATGATTGAATACCTAATGCATAGCCTTCTGTTTCGAGAATCCCGCGCCACTAAGCGCATGTCTACTATGTACATGAGACGAGGCGAGACGCTGGATCCAAAGGATCGGGCCGGGCCACGAGGCACAAGGCACGAGGGTTGGAATCTGAGTGACTTTTCCTGACCAATTCTAAGTAACAATTGTGACTCAAAGAAGATATCGCAGCCAGAGAGGAGGGACCATTGGGTTCCAATCGAGTTAGCGTTGAAGCCCGAATCACCAAAATAAGCACCAATGAGCGTTCGGAACCAGACCTCACCATCCCAACAAGCTCAAGAGGGCGGATGAGATATGCTCTGTAAGGTGAAGACGACAAAAAAGGAGAAAGAAATTCTGGCGATTGGTTATGCTATTATTGTTACCATAGCGAGAGAGTGTGATTAATGATGAAAGTTGCAGCCGACAGAATAACAGGCAGTTTCCAAGCCTCGGAAGAATATGTGCTGGAGACACTTTTACGTGTTGCTTTAAGGTGACAATTAGAGGGTACGAGCCTATTCGTCGTGTGCAATTATCAACAACATTCATTGGCAGGTTACCAAATTGAAACTATGGTTGGTAGATTCCAAAAATGTTAAGAGACAAAACATTCCATATTTACCTATCAACACGATAAAAGTTGAAATATTCGAAACTTAGGGACGTCTACGTAGAGCGCTCAACAAAATATATGAAATATATGAAAAGGGCGACTTGCTTGACGACCAACATCCGATTTCCAATATTAGCACCGACCTACACTCACTAACATTTATTAGTCTATAATAGATTCAGGAACCGTTGAACACTTACACGCCAGTTCTGGTACCTACATAGATTGCTTACTTGATAATAGTCCCATTCCCATTCCCACTTACATACTGCACTTACATACTGCATACTACTACATACCTAGGTACATATAATACGCTGGAATTTGGAAGCATTTCTAATCCATCCCCACGACATTGCGACTGTACAGTCGATCCTACCTGCGACGGACAGAATAACGGCGTAATTTCTCGGGTTGCTGATCTTGATTCAGGTGCTATTTGGTTCGTGTTCCTGGAGGATAAACGATCTAGGAAGGAGAAAGAGAAAGTGCACTAACTAACACATAATACGGAATATCTAGGTTAATTTACCTGGTTCCCGTTCCAAGCCTTTTTAAGGAACACCTTTTTTTATTTTTTTATTTTATTTTAGGGAACATTTGATCCCTCCATAAACCTTTGAACGGGGATCCTCCTAGTCATCCGGTTCAGCGTAACCAGCTTTAGCTTGGCCCAAGTCTTGCCATTGACGCAACGCGATTGATTCTATTTTGCGAAGCGGGACGTCATCACCGAGCATTCTCCATCCTATTCGCTAAGTGGACACATCCTCCACCACACCATCGTCATTGTTATTATCTATCATATTTCAGCCAGAGCGACGTTGCTTTTGCTCTATTGTCTATCCGTCTTGATCTGGCTTTCTTAGCTTCTTGGAAATTCTCTCTTAACTTGACCGAGAAACGGGGTTCTTGTCATTAGATCAGTTGACGTCGTTTCGACAGCGAATTTCTCCAAAAAAGAAACCAATAGCAGGACGTGAAGGACTGTTTCGAAATTCTACCGTGTTTCTTCTCATTTCGAACCATACGACTATTCAATCAAATCACACCCCACTCACTCCCCTTGCTGCAATGCATGGCAAAACCACACCTACATACTTAACACATACATGATCTGACCTTAACTGACATCTTACCTAAGAGTTCACCTAGCTGCATGAAGGTGAAATCCACCAGCTAGGTTAGAGAATAATTAGTTAGGTACACGCTTCTCACCAGTCGTTTCGTTTATTCCCATACAGAGCCTCAAGACTATTATTACTATTCCCACCAACGGATACTTTGTTCTGTATAGAATCATCCATTGCTCGGTTCACTGCCAGAGCGAGGGGATAGTAGGGGGTAGCACATATCCGACGGACGTTCATTATATAGTTGAGAGATTTAAGTCCGTGATTGCGAGGCACACAAGGACGACACCCCGCTACACTACATACTACTACATACTACCTACTACTACCTACTGCGACTACGACTGGATATTTGACAGTAAAAACCGCTCATTATTGGCTATATTACCTATATTACCAATTCGACTTGGAGGGTAGAGGACGGATCCTCTTCAGGCAAATACAATAAGCCGATAAAGCGCACAGTCCCACACCCATCACCGCACACCTGGTTGATCTCTTCGGCCGATTCCTCTAGTACATTCTTGCATTTTTGGGTCGGGGATCACTTGATCCTTCTGATCTAGAACAACTCACACTATTTGCCTCTTACCGGCTGAAGAGCTTGCCAAAGTTTGTAAGAGTGTGTAAGAAAGAGTGTGCGACGTCCGGCAAGAATTGTTAGAAAAAGAGAAAAGGGGAATAGGAGAGAGAGAGAGAGAGACAGAGAGGCCACCAGACAGACAGAGGACCAAAGAGATCTGTACTGTACCTTGTGGCTCGTGGCTGTCTCAAGGGTCTCCATCTTCTTAGTGGCCCAATTTCACCGCCGGTTCCCTGTTCTGCAGCCCAACCCGACGACACAACCTCGTAACGATACAACCCCTCCAACCCTCCAGCCCTTCCATGGCTTCTACCCCGCGGTAGGACCCTTATCGTCGCCAATTTCTTTACCAGGATATTCGATAATTATTCGTTCCTTGGTTAGGTATGTATATGCAACTCCATGTCCTCTATCGGCCTCCCGTTCTCCGTACCTTGACTGTCGTCTTTTTTTTTTTTAATAGAAAAATAAAAAATAAAAAATCACCATATTCTCCGAGAGCATTTGGAATTCTTAATAGGCTTACTTTACTCACATATTTGTCTATTCCAGGTAGACCCATTCTTTTTTTTTCTATGACCTGACAAAAACGTACGGAAGAGAAGGGCACAAGACTCCTTTCGCCCCCAAATTTGGAAAATCTTCTATTCACGAAACCTGGTCATTTCAATTTCACCCAGACCTAATAATATAAGCCGGACATAATTACGTCCGTCCCACCCTGACTTTGCGGAATTTCCAGATTTTCTAAATTTTGCTTTATCCTCTTTTTTTTTTCTTTTCTGACTCACACCCCCCAAAAAGACACCTACCAACCCTTAACCCTTAACTAAGAAGACGAATTTGGTTACATCGTGATCATTATTAACTAGCAGAAGACTGCGCTGCGTCATATTATATTTTGAATAAGTTAGTCGACACGATGGCTGAGCCACGATACCGTTATTCGGGTCGTAGGTCGCCTCAGTTTAACCCCGCGCGAGCATCGATGCCTGTGAGCATTGGATATAACCCTCATTACAGCGGGGATCTTCATACGGTTCAGACGGCTCGTTATGATGCCGCTGTTCCAAGAAGAGCGACTGATCATAAAGCGCCTTCTAATCCTACTGCTACTATCACCACTTATAACGTTACTAAAGAGCCTGCTGCTACTGCCGCCGCCACCGCCGCCGCGCAACGAAGTTCTAATTCCAATACATCCCGTCGTCGTTCGTCAACGGTAGATACCAATCCTGTGAAGCCCATTATAGTTACTACCAATCATGCTACTCGGCCTCACGGTACCTCTTCTCATACATCCTCTGCCGCGCGTACAACTAGTCCGTCGCGCGATCCCTACCGGTCAAGCGATGAAACCTACTATACGCAACCGGCCTCTTCAATACGTTCTCGAAGCCAGGCTCGATATGGCCACGGCTATACTCAAAGCGCAACCTTAAGCAATGAAGAGTTCTCACGATTAAGGGAGCGAGTAGGCGACGACAGACTTCGACCACCAACGCATGTCGCAACCGATTATTACCGCTCTTCACTTCCTCATGCCAATTATACGACTCCTTCTTTCGACCTTAACAATACGGCAGTTGTCGATTATGATAATGAAGGTTATGAGTATACAAAACCGAGCGATTTGGCAAGATACGATTTAGATCATGATCGCCAACTACCGCATAGAAATCGAAAGGAAAGCCTTGATCGTTCTTACCACCGTCCTACCGTAAACGTCGTGAGTAATGATCTGGGTCGTTACGATACTCGCGGTCGCGGACCACCACCTGCATCTAGCGCACTCGACCGTTACAACAGAACTACAGCCACAGGTATTTATGATCGTCCTACTGTCACTATGCCTGCTTTACCACCGCCGGTACCTGCTGCTCCGCCGGTTGATCCTCTACGTCGGATTGAAGCTCCGAGAGACCCGTCGCCAGACCGTAAAGCACCTCGACCGCGCCCAGTTTCTTTATATCAAGAAACGCCAGCGCGCATGTCGCATCCTGATGAAGTTTACCGCTCCCACGATGATGAGCGCGTGCATCGTCGCCAAGATCGTAAGGACGGGTACCGCGATGATGAGGTTCCTGCTCGCGGATTTGGGATTCGCACGAATACGCTGGAACCGGAGCGCTCGGATCGTCCAGCAAGGTCAGTTGATCGGCGCGACTACGATGATCGACGGCAGCGACGAGATGTAGCAGAGCGCGAGCCTCGACGCCGCTCTGATGAGTCGATCGACTATACTCGGAGTCATGATTCCCGAAAGCCTACTGAGGACACCGTAGGCCGAGCCAACTCAGTCCGGGATCAAAGAGACAGCACCACCCAGAAGAACGGCGCAGGCGGCCGAACTCGTGATAAAGTCGCTGCCGGATTAAGTGTCGCTGCTGCGGCGGTGGGCCTTGCACCCAGGGACACTACTAAGGATGATGACCGGAAGGTTTCTCCACGACGACGGGACCCCGATGAAGATAAAGACGTCGGAAGCTCTCGCACCGCGGATAAATATAAGCCTAAAGAGAAGGATATAGAACGAAAAGCATCCCCTCGAGAAGAACCAGTCGCTGTAGACTCGCGACGGGAATCCCGGAGAGAGCAGGTGGACACGACATCAGGCTCTAAGGAGCGCGAACTTGAAAGGGAACGCGTCCGTGAGCGAGCCTATGAGCGCGAACGGGAGAGGGAACGAGACCAGCGCGAGTTCGAGAAAGAACGGGAGCGGGAGCGAGAACGAGAACGAGAGCGAGAGCGAGAAAAAGAAGCACTACAGCGAGAACGTGAAACAGAACGAGAGGCCGAACGTGAACGCGAGCGCAACAGCCGGGATGACAAAACAAGAGTTAACGGATCCGCCGCGGCAGATTCGAAAGACGACTCGTTAGTCGCCGACGACTCCACACCAGCACCGCGAAGGCGACGTCGTAACTCTTCGACCTTCGATCCTACAAATACAATTGATTTGCTGGATGTAAAAGCGGAACTGGCCGCAAAAGAGGATGAGGACAAGACAAAGGATAAGCCAGCCTCTAGGGAGACAGTATCAGACAAGGAGACAACTCGTTCCGCCTCTGTAGAACGTATGTCGACCGGCTCGCGTGAAGAATCCCGCGGCCGTGATGCCGCCATTGCAGAGAAGGAGAAGCAAGTCCGAGTTGTCTCGCCTCCACGAGACAAGTCCGATCAGAAGCCTATCAAGGGCATCTTAAAGCCGCCAAGCGCAAAGTTCCCCGAGGATCACAACCCTATCCGAGAAGGCGTCGCGCCACACAAGGATGACAAGACGAAGAAGGGTGTCCCACCAGGTGCCCGATGGACCAAGATCAACAGGAAACTAATCAACCCCGCCGCTCTAGAGAATGGCAAGGAGCGCTTCGAAGTCCGCGACGATTTTGTCATCGTTCTACGGGTTTTGACAAAGGAGGACATTCAGAAATACGCCAACGACACCGCCAAAATCAGAGGTAGGTTCAAGTCAAGGCAACTAATAAGCCTAACCCATTTCTATCATAAGCACCTTACTAACGAGCGAGCAGCGGAGAAGAGAAGAGAATACGAGAAGCAGTTCGGTCAGGAGCGTAACTACGAGTCCCACCGCGAGGACCGCGACTACTCGGATGACGAGAGGCGTATTCATCACAACCCTCGCGATAAGAACGACCATGACTACAGGAAATACCGTGACCGGGATGACGATAGAGAGCGCCCTCGCCGTACACACAGACACGGTTCGGACTCTGAGGATGACACCCGGGGCCGTCGGGCAATCGAATACGATGTCAGTAGCAACACCAGTCACGACACCCGCACCCACCGTTCTCACCGGGACTACGACTCCGTCTCTACCAAGGCAAGCGACAGGCGTTAGTTAAGCAAGCCAGCCAGCCTACCTTTCCTGCGACTACTATATAAAATATGTATATGATATATACATGCATATATACACTATTTCCTCGTTCCATATATACATCACCGACGAGAAACTCTTCAGATCTTCTGAGATATATATACTCAAGCACGTCAGGGGTAAATATACCTATACATATGTGTATGTGTATATATATGGAAGAGAAGAAGACATGATACGATACGATACCTGTACAGAAAGATGTGCGGGGAGGATGATATTTTTTATTTATTTATTTTTGTTATCTTACGTATATACGAATGAAATGACACGACTTACATGTATGCGGGTTGACGAGCGAGCGTGTACGGAGCTAGGAGCAAGATATAAGGGAAGGAATGAGGACATTTTGGGATTTCTAAATTATCATGTACAGTCCGTCGTTTGACTCTTCTTTTTTTTTTATATCTTCTTTTCTTCTCTTCTGTCTCTCTGATGACCTTTCCCTTTGTCACTATTACAATTATCACTGCCAAAAAGTCAGATACCCGCAGAGGAAGAGCTATGATGGAGAAGGGAGCTGAGTTGGATTGTGAAAGGAAGGTCTTAGTTAGATATACCCCGTAGATTTCTTTCGTGTTTATTTTTTATTTTTTATTTTTTTTATTTTTTTTTATATATGATACGAGTTGTGTAAATGAAGTTAGTCATGTTAGGTATTCAATGGGTTCTCAAGTATTATAAATGTTATGTCGAAAAGTAGAGTAAACTTAATGACTGGTAGAAAGACGGGATGTGAGTTATGTACGGCATGAGGCTTGTATGGGCCAATGAGTTGAGAAGGAGTTGGTTGTATTCTTTGTAAGTCTTAGATTTTGATTTATGGTTTGTCATATCACCCCTTACCTAGGTTACCAAACATCTGCCACTAAGCTTATTAGTTTACTCGTATGTGCGAGATGTTAGGTACTTATCCGTGCCCTCTCACCGTCATCTCACTACGGCACCGGCCCGTCCGGGTGGGTAACGCAGGTAAGTATCCGCGCCATGTCTTTTCATCTCTCAATAGCCAAATACCTGAAGTAATACAATATCATACCTATGGCCAAATGCTAGAGAAGACTAACAGTGTTTCCCTTCTAAATATATGAGTTGGCCAAGCCAGTCATTATGATACCGCTACCTATAACGACGATCGCTCTTCTATAATTAGGCGGAGAGAAAGGTCAGGATGGATAACTACAATGCTTGAACTTCCTCAACCGTAAAGATCATCGGGTAGATGCGTAAATGATATGGCACCTGGTGGCTCGGGATCTGACCCCCTGAGGCACGGATTTAAGACATGGTGGCCGTGTGGCCATAGCCGGGCGCTCCCGGACCGCAGTGTCTTATAAATACGGGCCGTTCCTGAAGCCATGTCGGTGTGAGATAAACTCAGAAATAATGAATCCGTTTTTTTATTGCCCCTGTGATGATCACTTAGGTGCTTCTAGGTTAGGCAAGTAGGTAAGTAGCTAAGCGATGTGAATCATAATAGGGGAAACAGTCAAGTACCTGACCTAATCTTTGCCTAGTGAACGAAGTTACCTGCAAGATATCGACGAGAAAATAAAATTTAATAACTGGAAACTTGCAAGTTTCCTAGATCTCTTAGTTACCTATGTATCAAATCATTACATGCCTCCTCAGTAAGAGGTCTAGAATCTAATGTAGAATAGACTGAGAGCCATCCCTCACATAGCTGTACGTGCTACGAGTCGCGTGCTATCTTTCCATTAGGGGTGAATGGGTTATAAAGTAGATTTCATTTTTATCTATTATTCAAGTTAACCCAGCCACTAGGTTGGGAAATTCATTTACCGCAAAGTCTAGAAAGTCCGATTCATCGTCAGCCGGTTTAAAAGTTAACATTTAAGCCGCCAGGCATTCTTGTCTCGGGAGGCGCGGGTAACTAACTTGAGCATCTAACGGTCTCATTAACTTTAAGACAACCGCGCGCAGTACGTATGAATATACGAACACCGTGGCCCATCATATCCATTAGGCATACATATAACTATATGCATAACTAATACGAACCGAAATATGCCTCCTTTTACATTAGGTACCTAAGGTAATAGTTCAAGTGACGGCATGTAAATAAGATAAGAAACTCGTCCATAAGGGTAAAGCAACGTCGCTACTAATATTGATATAAATTTATACGTTTCTGTCTTGCTGGTTTATAGGACCAGCCATGATCAGCTTAGAGGAACCCGATCACCGCACCGAAGTCCTCTCTTGCCTATCACATGTGGCTATTGAACCTCATGCTCCCTCGCCCCTTTTCATCAACCTTGACCAACAACGAAAAATAAACTAGTGCTTGGTATCTCTCCTACAGCTATCCCCTTTTTTTGCCTGCGTGAAAGAGCTTATAGCGTGTTCTCATTTTGCTCCTTTTTTTCAGTTTTCCATTTTCCATTTTCCTAGCCTACTATGAATTAAAAACAGAACAGACACAAACTCCTCTATCCCGAGATTGTTTCTCGTGGACAAACCCGAACGTAGAAGTGACTGATGCCAAATTGTACGTAGATCCAAGGCAGTCTAGCAACCCAACCTGGGGCAGCAGACCCTGGCAAGGTAGAACTAAAGCACCCTATGTGGGAAGTAAGAAACAGACCATTATCGTAATGAAACGTGAAACCTCCTGCCGTTAAGACGGATCTAAGAAAATTGAGGAAGGTCGAAATATCAGGGTCAAAAATGACAGGCAATATTAGCCATTTCCAGAGTGAAGAGGCTTTAGTGAGGTAAGAGGTTGGTCGTGTGGCGGCGTTGACCTTTTGGTTGGTTTATCAAGCGCAGATATAATACAAGCGCGGTACGCAATATGTATGTGAAGATGTTATTTTATCCGCCCGATCGACGGAATAAAGAATCCCTCGAGATACCACGCGTTTGAGACGTAGAAGAGGAGCTTTAAACAAAGGATGACGAGCGGCGGGTATTTGTTAGTTAATGGCCACCTACACGAAGCTGATAGAAGACAAGATATCAAACTAAGACTCGTCATCTCGTTTCTCGCCACGGCGCATTCGCTCACCCCATCTTCGCTTGCCAACTCGGGTTTCATAGTGGGGCACCATGGTTTTCATGTCTTGCGCCATGCCTTCGATTGCGGTGCAAGTCTTGTTACGGTAACAGTCGACTAGCAAATGTCAGTGGTGGTGTTTTCGAAGCATAGTCTACAAACTTGGATGTAAACTTACGTGCTCGCTGTAGGAAGACGGTCCTGCCCGCAAACACACGGCTATGCATCCACGCCATGCGGTAAGCGAGGTCGTTGAGTCGTACTTCCTTTATACGCGTGCCTCTTTTGATCCTCGGTATAGCAACCTCGGCCTCGTTCCCATCGGACATTGGGGCTTTCACCATGACCCGTTCTCTTACATTTCCCCGACGGGCGCGTCTAGATCGCCCGCCGTCAACTTCCACGTTATCATCACTAAGGTCATCTTCGAAGAATTGACTACCGGTGGCGCTCGGAGGCGGGCTTTGCATTTCGCGCGGGAAATAACTGCGTGGGAATACAGCTGAGCTTTTGCGAAATGAATCGGGTATCTCTTTAGGATTCACATCTTCAAGGGTGACGCGTACACGAAGGCGAGAGTTGCGTTTGTTATCCTCAACCAGTATAAACTTTCGCTTTTTAGCATCGGGGATATCAGGAAACAAGCCTTCCGGGTTTTTGTCATCATCTCTGCTCATGCGTCGAGCTACAATAGTGCTGTGGTGAGAACTACCAAGTCCATCATGGATCGGCGGCATGGACGATCCCGAGATGGGATGGCTGGGGTACTGTTGGGGATAGCCAGTGAAAACTTGAGCCGGGCGGACGTCGTCTTGGTTTCTAGATCCAGGCCCGGTGGGTGCTTGATGATGGTGATGATGAGATCCATCCACATACTCTCCATCCCCTGTACAGAGATTCAAATTAGCGGATTGCACCAGGGTCGGGACGCTATTGCGCAAATTAAGGCAGCAAAAAAACTGAATCGATGTGATATTTGCAATTTTGTGGCAGAAAGGGTTCCAATACAAAGACAGCGGCGTGAGGTAGTGATATGTGCGCTTGGTGTGTTTGTGCAGCGAGATGCAAAGCAATGCCATGCAACTTTTGCTATCAGACAGACGACTAGACCGTCCCGAAGCAGCAAGGACTACCAAGTGCATGGCAGCTAGATAATGTACAGAATAGTGCCAGTCCCCCAGTGCTCCAAAAGCGCCCGCGGCTTTGCGCCGTTATATAAACATGAAATGGCATCCAATCCAAAAATAACCGAACAGGCACGAGGTATAATGATAAGAGGTATCACGTAATTGCACAATGACAACAGCAACGACAATAACAATAGCAACGCATGAATCACATCTGGTGAAACATACCGACTTCATCTCCTCCACCCTGAGCACCTCCTTCGTGGGCGTGGTGATGGTGCATCTGCGGACCCATGTTACTCATTCCAGGTTTCCCCATGGGCGTGCCGCCACCAGGGCCAATGGCCCCAGGGGTTGACATCCCTGCCGGACCACTGGGACCGGACATGTGTGTGGAGTGGGGAGTCTGAACCGCCTTGCGATTGTTCATCTTGGCCATTCGACGCACGCGTCGACTTCGCAACCGAGGGTCTTGATTGCTATTCCGCCAGCTGTCGACAGCTCTCTGAATAAGTCCCCTCTTCCCGCGGAGGCATGGATTGAGCTGGGCCAATGCCCAACCAACGGTGTTGCATTCAGTCTCATACTGCAGCCGATTCCCTCTGTATTGATCCTTGGGACAGCATGCTCTAGGATAAACACAGTTTTCCGTCTTAAACTCGCTGCTAAGTTCGTCGGTGTTTACAGACTCGACATCACAGCGAATCGTATATTCCATCTTTACCCGATCGCGGGAATATTCGAAGGCGATCCATTGCACACCGTTATTATCTTGCCTCACGACCAACGGAGTAGTCGCTGGAATCGGCCCCGGT